TCAACATCGGCAATTTAAATCTATCCTAATTTTATCACCTTCATTGTACCATCGAACGTTTGTAAAACCCGCCGCACTTTGCGTCAAAAAATTAGTTTGCACAGCGCGGGGTAAACATAAATACAAGTTGCCCTTGACATCGTTTTGCACTAGAAGGGTGTAAATCCCCTTTCTATCGGATACCGTTAACTCATTTATGGTGTAATTTTTCAAGTCCTCCCGGCACACAGAATTTCTAAAATCATTCGTTTTCGTAACTTTAATTTGCATGCCGCTATAAATATTTCGACCGCGCACTTCGAATTCGATCTTTTTAAAGTCCTCATGATTTAACGTGATTTTAGTTGTATTCCTAATTTTTAAACTACGAATTGCGGGGTAATTCTCAATAAAGTTCGTATTTACAATCGCGATTAATAATAATAAAACAACTTCCCGTATCCTAAGTAACAAACCATTCGCCATGATAATCTTAAAACCGACTGATTGTGATTCAGTTTCGGCTGTACGGTGCTGTGTGCTCGTGAGTAATGTAAACACTGCAATCGTCGTAACGCGACGTTGCCATTTCTCCCTACATTTTTGGTTGTAACATATTGCAAACTGCTGTTTTGTAAATAAACACTCGCATGACGTGAAGGAAATTAATGTGCCAATGGAGATTTTCGGCGTTTTACCGCAAGTCTTCGAAAATAACACGTATGTATAACCGCTAACAGCCCCTGTCGAAAATCTTGATATAAAACTCAAAAGGATGTCAATTTTATTTTCAATTTCAATTTCGGATTTCGGTTAAAGTAAAACAACCCCCAAAATTTAAATGGGTACGGGATTGGCTGATAACTCTTTTTAGGAGATCGTTAAATTACCTAACTGTAAAAATACCACTAGACCTTTATCTTTCCGAAATTTTTAGGAAAATCAAAGAAATTTACACCTTATATCTCGCCTTATATACTTACACAAATTACAATGGTTAAACTTACCGGACGTCATAATTTTGGGGTAAAGTCCCGGGTTCCTGTCAGATTTGTTTTCTTGTTACAGTCAGAAATTAATAAGACAAAAAAATATTTAATCAAGTTATTTCTTGTATGAAAGCATCTCTACTATTAGAGGTATCCATCTCATTGTTAATTATTTTATTAATCATGATTCTGATTTATGGACATAAAATCCGATGTTATGGAAGCAATGGAACTCTTATGGTTCTCTAAAATATAATGTATTGTTATTATCGCAAAACGGAAGATTGTCAGAATTTTAGGCCGGATGTCCACCGCATCGGAACGACCAAGATCGGTTCGATTTCAATCGTCCGATAAAGATCGCGCGCGTGCGCTTCTATTGAAGCATGTCCACAGGCTCGATTTTTGTCGGGACCGATCGAAATCGCAACCGACTATTTTCTCCCGACGCGACGCTCTTGCACGATCATTCGTCGGCAGTCGTGTGTCATAATAATCAAAAGTGGTGATAATCTTTCTTCTACCGTCACACATCTTCTGTAATTGGTGTCCCTTTTGGCAATTCATGGTCGAGCAATGTCAGCCAAAAGGAAAAAACTACTCTTGGACATATGATACATACATTTAAATTTGTGTTCATGATTCGCAAGTTCACGGGCACAAATGAAAGCACCGATCTTCGTCGCCCCGATTCGGTGGACATCCGGCCTTAGTGTAAACAATTGAATTTGATCTCTTGTTCTCCAAAATGTCACACACTGAGCTTCAATAGATGTTTGACGATCATTGCGTAATATTAATAGGTATTTTTTTAAACCACCATAAGCATCAAAATTATGATACATCTATTGTGAAGATAAATAAAACGATAAATAGATTTTTATGCGGACGACAGACAGGTATGCATCTTAGATCATATTGATCTAAATTCTAAGGTATACTTATACATACAGTTCCGCATTCAACATTTCCCTGGTGTAGGATTTATCTTTCATTTAAAATTTTGGGCCTTGTGGTTAAGGCTCTTATCCATGAAGAAATTATATACCTAGTAGGTGAGATTTATCGTAAAAGGGGTTCGCCGCGGAACTAAATTTTCGGAAATTCGCACTTTCATAATGGCAGTGTATGTTTCGTTCTGGATATTCTATCCTGCTCAATCAGCATTGCTAAATTACAAATAAAACACACCTGCACGCAGTAGATTGGCGCTTGTGTCTCCCAAGATTGTAATTACTAGTTAAATATATCTTGAATTACTTACAATTCCGTGCATACATCCTAGACCTGAAACTATAATTTTAAGTATTATTAATTAGGAATTCAATTCGTCCCTAACTGATTTACACCCACAGATCTCTTCTTTTTTTTAAGAGGTCCGCGCTTAGACCCGATTTTAATCCGCTAATGTGTTCTGATCCAACAAATACCTTAGAATGCTTACAGGGCTCGTGAACTGATCCATGGCTCCTCAGAACAGAAAAGTTACACAAAAAGTATAAAATTTACACATCAGCAACACATACAGGGTGATTCCTATAGTACCTGCCACCGTTTGGGAGCGTGTAGGTGGTGCGTAGGGGACTATTTTGATATAGGACACTTGGGGTCGGAAATCTAAAATAAGGGTGCCAGAGCCAAATTTACCTTCTGGAATTTCGCGCCTGTAGGTAGGCAACCCAACCGGCCGGCGGTGCACACGGAGCGATCTCAGGCGGCGATGTGTGGCTGACACTTGATCAGAATTTTGTTTAAACCCACGAAATCCCGTCTGCAACGACGCGTATCAAGTGAATAAACACTATGGCACGTTTTACTAACACGGAATACGCGGACATGCACTTCATGTACGGATTGGCAAATGGTAACGCACGAGCTGCACGACGAGCGTACGCTGAGCGGTATCCAAACCGTCAGTTACCCTGCAGACAGGTCTTTCAAGAAGTTCACTTCCGACTGTGCGAGACAGGGCAATTGCAGGTAAGCTGACGGAGGCTTAACTTTACACACAGATTCGTGATGCACATCGATACTTGGGTCATTTAAGCACCCATTTCGAAAAGTTTGTTTGTTTACACCGACCTCCTCCTATTTCGCAGCCCACTAGCGCCCGTGATCGCGATCGCCCGTTGGTAAATGCCTTAGAGGAGGATGTGTTGGAACGTTTCGAGGCAAACCCGCGTACTAGCACTCGACTTGTAGCAGATCAGGTGGGTTGTAGTCAACACACAGTGTGGAACATCGCCAACAACAACAACTTACACCCCTATAAGTTTAAGAAAGTGCAAGAGTTACGGCCGGGTGACCATGAAAGGAGGCTGGAATTCTGCAACTTAGTCGTCCAGGAGGAAGAAGCTAATCCGAACTTTCTGAGGAGCGTGCTAGTTACTGACGAGAAAGGATTCTCAAGAGAGGGGACCTTCAATCCTCGTAACAGCCACTACTGGGCGGAGCACAATCCTCATGAAACGTTTACGCGAGGATACCAGGACAAGTTTTCTTTAAACGTTTGGGCTGGCATCCTGGGGGACAACCTACTGGGGCCTTACATCCTCCCTCCGCGTCTAAATGCCCATAATTACCTGATTTTCCTGCGCGAGGTGCTACCAGAACTTTTAATGGATGTTCCAGTGAACTTGTACTGGGACCACTGGTTCCAGCACGATGGGTGCCCTGCTCACTACGGGCGGCAGGTGAGGGAACACTTGGACCAAACCTATCCGGACAGATGGATCGGCCGTGGAGGTGCGGTGGAGTGGCCTGCCCGCTCGCCCGACATCACCCCATTAGATTTTTACTTGTGGGGTGTGATGGAAGCGCACGTCTACGAGACTCCCGTCGAATCCGAAGAGGACTTAATTGCGCGCGTCGTCATGGCCGGAGAGGCTGTTCGCCAGGACATAGGAGTCTTCACGCGAGTTCGAGGGGAGTGGTTGGCTAGATGTAGGAAGTGCATTGAGAACAACGGTGGCCACGTTGAACACTTGTAAACGTTATTGCTTTTGACTGTCGTTTTCCCTCCTTCCCTCCCATGTCGCTTCCTCGCGCTAACTCGCTCTGCATCGCTCCGCGCGAAACGTCGGTCGGTTGGGTTGCCTACATACAGGCGTGAAGTTCCAGAAGATAAATTTGGTTCTGGCGCCCTTATTTTGGATTTCCGACCCCAAGTGTCCTATATGAAAAGACTTCCCCTAGGCACCCCCTATACGCTCCCAAACGGTGGCAGGTACTATAGGAATCACCCTGTATACCTATAGCGAAGAATCGAACTGTGTTAGGTAGAGCGGTGAATCAAAAAGGCTTTCCTTATTTTTTGACCTACATTGTCAATTCACGAACTCCGATCTACAAATTTGATAAAGCATCCACCTACAAAATTTCATCGTAATCGGTCCTTTCGTTTACGAGATATCGTGCTAACCGACGGACAGACACCGCAAAATTATAAACTCGCTAGAAGCTCGTTAATAAAGTATATAATGTGTGAGTATAGTATATTCTATAAGGAGTAAGGAATAAGGTATATTCCGCGCGAGTGGAAAGCGTCACTCGAGCCGAAGGTGAGTGTGACGGTTCCACGAGCGTTGAATACCTATTCCTTACAAGTCATAAGCTTCATTCGCCATGATACAATGATAATTACACTTAAAGCAGAAATTAAGAAAAAACCATCATTCACAATACACAAAATTAGCTCGTTAATTGTAAGAGTAACAGCAACGTCCTCTATAGGTATCTTATTAAAACAGCAACAAGTTTCCATTTTTTTTACTAACAGCAGCGTTTTTTGAAATGAATGTATTTCCTTGAATTATATTACATTAGCGAATTTCCTAGAGCGAAATCAAGGCGCCATCAAGTCGAAGATCGAATGAAAGTGGATACTGATTTATTTTCCTGTAAAATATGAAACCCCTTATAGATTTTTCGACAAGCTTTATTGTTTGCTAGATAAGCAAATTGAATTGTGTCTAGTTCATAGTCTTGAAGTCTGCCGAAGTAATAAATAGTGAAATCCGCGCTCGGTTTATAAATGTTATAAATTTACGTGTGAATAAAGGCAACTGATAAATAAATATAATAATTCAGTAACTGTTATTATAAATCGATCTACCTATTTAAAAACCTTTTTCAATTTAGTTGTTCGTTACTAGTGTTAGTCCCTGACCCTGAGTGACATGAAGAAATCACATAATATAAATTTAGGCATTGAATAAAAAATTTATTCAATGGGTACATTATCAATATTGTATAACAAACAGCGTGAACTTTGTAGTCAATGCTCGTCAGGTACAATGTACCGTAGTTCAACTGTGTTTAATAAATCACTGTTTAAACAAATTCTAACAAATTTGAGAAATGTATACAAATCCTCAAACAACGGTCAGGTAAACATTTACTTTTATTAATTTTTAAAAACATCATAATAATTTTATAATGAATTTACTTTATGCTACTGCGCATACTTGTGACGTAAGTCTTGCCATATCCGTACTTTTTTCACCATGCCTACAAATGCTATTTATGGATCGATGTGACGCGATTCCAGTGGCATACCTAATGTCGAGCCTAATGTATTGAATGTTTTGTTAGTTGCCTATTCACGGCCAGCTATAATGTTGGTCCTATTTAGAAATATCTGGGTCCGTATTCTTGAATTTCTGCCAAGGTAGCGTTCCCGGAATACTGATACTAATGGCCGTTTGCACCGACAAATTTAAGCGTAGCTTAAAACTCATATCAACCATTGCCTCAATAACCGTTGTCATGGATTTTAAGTTACGCCATTGAATTTATAACTATAGTTATAAATTCAATGGTTACGCTTAAGCTAAGCTCCGCTTAAATTTGTCAGTGCAAACGGCCATAAGTTGTTTATTCTACAATAATCGGTTGGTGAGATCTGGATCGATTTATAAAAAGTTCAAAAGGGCTCTAAATGACCGACAGTTAGTGAAACTATAAGCTCCTTTTTTGCGCTAAAAAAACAAAAAGGGGCAAAGGTCTCACAGAATTTTGAATATTTTTTCCTCTACTTCTCTGTATTCCTTAAATGGTACGGACCTTGTTTAACAATTTATTCAGGACAACTCCAGACTGCTTGTCATAGGTTCTGGTCCGATATTCTATAATTGATAAATATTCCAAAACATTGAAGATAATTATAAGTATTTTGCAGGAATTGAACCTAATTAGTATACAAATGTATGTCATAGTATAAAAACAGGATGTATATGTAGTATCACCATTGAATTTATATGTATATATTATATGTATAAAGTCAATGGTATCACTCAGATTACATTAAAATAATCGCGATTTTTGTATAATATTGTAGGTAATAGTTTTCGATTCTGCTTTATTTTGTAAAGTATACTACTGTAAACTAAATATGTGTGTGTCGTTTTAGGAACAGCAAATTAAAATTGCTGGCCAGACTATAAATTATTTAAAAAAAGGCAATGGGCCACAAACCATTTTATGCTTTCCTGGTGCGTTCGGAACGATTTGGACCGACTTTACACCACAAATTGAAGAGCTGGATACCAAGAAATTCACAGTCGTAGTTTGGGATCCACCGGGATATGGCAAAAGTCGACCACCTCAAAGAACTTTTACTAATGATTTTTACATTAAAGATGCAGACATGGCTGCTAAACTCATGAAGGTAAAGGCATTTTCGATCATATTGTTATTATCATTAAAATACACACTTTTCAGGAACTACATATAGATAAATATTCTTTATTGGGCTGGAGTGATGGTGGGAACTCCAGTATGATTTTATCATCGATGTATCCAAACTGTGTCGACAATTTAGTCATTTGGGGATCGAATTCTAAAATATTGCCAGATGATATTACAGCGTGTGAAAGTATGCTGTACTAATTTGGATTGTTTGTAGAATCTGTAATTTTTAGAAATTCGAGATATAAATTCCTGGTCTGAGAAAATGAAACGACCGTTTATAAAGATGTATGGAGACGAGTTTCAAACTTTAATTAATAATTGGTTGGATGCACTACACAATATAGCTAAAGAAGGTGGCAATATTTGTCACGATATGCTCCCATCTATTAAATGTCCTACATTAATTCTTCACGGGAATAAGGATGCGATGATTGCTGAAGAACATCCAGATATACTCTTAAAGAACATAAAAAACTCAAAGTAATACTTTGCCCCAGTTTAACACGGCCATCTACAATCCACGTGACTGCGGAAAAATGCGCATGCGTGACTCACACGCTAACGTTCTTGTCATTCTTAGGTTTTATATCAAGTTTATTTAAACAAGAAATTGCTTGCGGTGAATGACAAAATATGCATGTAAAAAATATTCACAATTCTTCTGTGGGAAATGGAAGAATACCCTAGTTATGCATAGATTTGTTTATTACGTACCGTGAACATCATTAATTTTGCAAATTGTATTTTTTAAATCGCAATGGGTAAGGCAACGCATGCACGTTTTTACAAAGTCACGTGTAATTCTATACATGCCAGTTGCACCATTGAAACCCATACAAGATTCATTCTGAGCGACACAAATTTAGTGTGTTCAGAACATGAACATATTTTTGACCCCTAATATTGAACCGCGTAAGGCTAATTTTTTGGAAAATTTCAGTAAAAACGAATTGATATTGACAAACCATATGCAGTGTTCATTGGCTTATTTTATGACTAAAAGTTCATATAAATATAGATCCGCAAACACTTCATTACTTCTCTACAGGGTGTTAAAATTTTACCGTTCGCTTTACAATTTATAATATATAAATTTCAAATGCGAACTATCTACATTAATAATAATAATAAATTAAGCCAGTGCCTACTGGATCATTTTAAAATCTAATACACTAATCATTTATCAACTTGATGACAACCTGATGGCGCCCCGATGTCGCTCTAGATTTCTATAATATTCACCAAAAAAATTAAGTCTTAATTGTTTGGTAATTGGACGAACGCCAATGAATAGCGCTTAATTAATTTGATATTTTTTTGCGTTTTGGATTTCCGATCATTATTGTTAAGATTTTTACAATCTGATAAGGATCATAAAAGCTGCATTAGAGAAGGTACATTCGATTAAAAAAAAAATAATTTTTCAAATAAATACAAAAATCTAATGTTTGCTTTAACTTTTAAGCGAGTTGTTTCTGTAAACCTTTGTGAAAACTTACATGAGCGCACACGTACAATGCACTATTGGCTCTTTGTTTGCTTTTATAACATTCACAGAATAAGACCTGACACAGAATAGACGCAGACCTTGGTATAGTTTAAATATACCAACAATGTAATTACTTACTAATCTAAACATTTCTTTCAGAATTCATCGATTTCCAGAAGGAAAACACAACATCCACCTGAGGTATTCGCAGGAGTTCAATGCTGTGGTGTCACGATTTATCGAAGAACACAAATAAAGCAAACTGTAATTATCTGTTACTATATTGATGCAAGAATTAATGTGTTTAATGAGTTAAGATAAATAAAAAATGGAACATTAGTAGAAAAAATTTCTTCAAAGTAAGAATTAACCATACAATTCGCCACTTTCCATTGCATTCTGGTAGCTCTTGCCTTTCTTATCTTCAGGATCCAGCTTAATCATGTCATCGATTCTTAGAATAGTAATGGCGGCTTCCGTTGCGAACTTCAATGACTTAATTTTCGATATGGTGGGTTCCAATACGCCCGCCTTTTTGTTATCTCGCACCGTCCCTTCAATTAAATCAAGACCAATCCATTTCAAATGTGCATGGTTAATGTTCGTCTGACTTGAATTTTGATACGCTCTTAATTTTGCAACTAGATCGGTAGCATCTTGTGCCGCATTGACTGCTAAGGTTTTTGGAATTACAAGCAGACTACGTGCAAATTCAGCTATTGCCAGTTGCTCGCGAGAGCTTAGAGTTGTTGCAAAATTTTCTAAGTAAATTGACAAGGCTGCTTCTACTGATCCACCTCCAGTAACCACACTTTTCGACTCCAAAACACGTTTTACCACACAGAGTGCGTCATGGACGGAACGTTCCATTTCATCACAATAGAAGTCATTGGGGCCACGTAAAATAATTGAAGCAGCTGTCCGTGCTTTGGGTCTAAATTGGATCGATTAGTGTCTACACACAAATGTGTCTCTGGGAGTTTTTTAGTTAGAAGTTTCTATGAAAGTTTTTGAAAATTTGTACTTAGGCTTAGTTTACTGCAAAATATTTTCAAAATGGCAGTACTTTTCACTAAGCCAATAATAGTTGGGTAGTACCTAGATGGTAATTTGATATTTATTTGATTTCATAAAAGTAAAAATAATTTAGAAACCGTCTAACTAAAGCTCTCAAAAACCACTCTGTATAATTTACAGAAATAATTACCCTTTAATCAAAATTAATTCATCATCACTTATTCTTTCTTGCACAACTTCTGCAGCTTCTCCAACCATGCTGGCTTCAAAGCTTTCCTCACCTTAAAAATATTTCTGTAACACAAAATTTAAAATTAAATTACTTACCATCCATGTTGCTTAAAGATGTAACGAAAGCAGCTCCTGTGGCTTTGGCGATTCTCTTCAGATCGTTCTTTTTAACTCGTCTCACCCCCATAGCTCCATTCTCAACGAAATATTTCAAACACAGATCATCAATTCCACCGGTGCATAATACAACGTTAACACCAGTTGCCAAAATCTTTTGAATTCTCTCTTTAGTTATGTCAAGCTCGCGCGCGCGAATTGCCTCCAATTTCTCGGGATCCGTAACCAAAACCTGTACGCCCAATTTCATTTTGGCCTTTTGAAGAGAAAAGTCTAAACACGCAATTTTAGCATTTGTAATTCTCTTTGGCATTGCTTGACTGGCAACGGTGCAGTTTAAGGCATAGCCTTGGACCAAAACACTCTCTCTGGCGCTACGTCCGTGTGCCTTTAGAACATTGACCGCTTTGATGGGATACAATGGGTTTCCTTTTACGTCAACAATTTTGATAGCGTTGGCGGCATCAACGACGATGTTGGAAAACAACTCTGCATCTCTAATTTACATTAAGGAAATTAATAATAAATTAAATTTTTACAGAACATTTCCTCAATAGGACGCTTCCAAGTATTTTCGTATTTTTCCTATTGCATATTCGTAATGAAGGTAAAATAAGCTTTCCAACGATGTGTTGCAAGACCTGTTACATTTAAAAAAAAATGGCGGCAGTTTCAAAAAACCATATATGGGACAAACATTTTCTTTTTATGCTGGAATATGCACAAACAGATCTTATTTAAGTCCTAACACTTTCAAACAGATATCTACAACCGTTTTCACACCAGCGCTTTGGTTCCATCTTTATTAGCCACTCTGTATATTACTTCAGCGTTGAAATTGGAACTGACTCGAAAGACAATTTGATGTGTTTATATAGCAAATAATATTCTTTCTAGAATGTTCTCAAGTGCTAACGGACGCTTCAAAACGTTGTAGAACAAATAGTAGTTCCTCTAGGGTTCAAAAATGAAAGCGTTGTCTTGGCGAAAATTGTAAAAAAAGTGCCAAATGCAAAATCAAATAAAATAAATTTTCTTGTTTTTTGCATGTCTTTCTTTTTGCGCATAATACAAACTGGAACAGATTTTTGTTGTTTCTGTAAATTCTGTGATATAATAACACAGAAGAAGCCCATCTTATAACTGATTTACATATACAACAATCGTGAAACACAACATCTAGGTTGCCCTTCAAATCGTTAAAATTTTATTCAATAAAATGTAAAATAGAGATGTACTTTAATGCTTAACAAAGATGGACAAAACGTACTATCAGTTAGAAAACTGTACTAGCGACTTGCAGTGACCAATCACTGAGTGGGATTTTGCAGCTATTGCTAACATGTTTCACCTTTTGCCTAAATGCATCGCGAAACGTTTGCAGCTCAGTTATCTATTTTTTTTTCAAATTAGAATAAATCTAGAGTAGAAAGCAAAGAATTCATTGGTCAGTTTTTTCATTTCTGGTTTAACCGGAAATATCACCAATGTTTTAATAGTAGAACACCCTGTATATACAGTGTGTCCATGGATTGAATGCACATAATGACAAATATTTTTAGTCTTATCTGCACAGCCGTCTTTTATAAGAATGTTAAAATGAAACTGACATTTATATTTATTTCGTTGCAGCAACAAACTGCACTGTAGCAATTAAAACACGCACATAATACACTATTCTTGTTTGTAGCCTGTAAATTTATTGTATATTGACGCTGTCTCTCAGGTAGTAGTATTGATAAAGAACGGATGAGTGCCATTTATTTTCTTCATTAAATGGTGGTTGGTAAAAATATACAGTGCGTTCGAGATAAGAGGGTCACCTCAATATCTCGTATTTGGCAAGATATGAAAAATTTGTTAAATATAATTTTATATATGACATTACGATCTATCTGATCGCATTTTCAAACTTCTGGTTTAACAGCTTTTGTTTTTCAAATACAATGCCTATGTTTTTTAAAATCTTTGAAAAGAGCAATCAATTTTCTGTATGACAACATAAAATATGTATATGGTTGATATACAAAAAAATGGAGAAATGCGTGAATCAATATTTAGAAAATTTATGAAATCTTGTTCAATGTTTCGCTTTTAAGATTTACTTTTGCACGATACGATCTCCCCATGTAATGCAACAGGCACCGTGCATCCTGACAGCACACAGCACGCTAGATTTAATACATTTTCCAAATATTGAATAACAAATTTCTCCATTTTTGGTATATCAACCATATGCATATTTTATGTTGGCGTACAGTAAATTGATTGCTCATTTAAAAATCGTAAAAAAACATAGGCAATACATTTGAAAAACAAAGGTTGCATCAATTTCAGGTTACACCGGAAGTTTGAATATGCGATCAGATAGATCGTGATGTCACATATAAAATTATATTTAACAAATTTTTCGCTAAATAAAAGAGATATTGAGGTGATCCTCTTATCTCGAACGCACTGTATAGGTATACAGCAAATTTTATACATGGTGACAACGAAACTACTATCCAGGCTCGCATGGCTTCATTAAAAAAATTGAAGTTTTCGTCAGCAATAGGATTGAAAAATGTGCATATTTTAAGCAAAAAAATTGACAGTCCCTTTCTATTCCACTGGAAATGATTAAAATGTAATGACCATGATTGAAGTGCAAATGATACCGTTTGTTTTGGGCGTAACACATAAGTATTAAATTTAGGTATAGGCAGTATAGGACATAGTATATGAAAAATGTTCAGAATTTTGCATAGAATTCAAAGAATATGCAGTAATACATTAGGGTCGCCATGCTAAATTACGAAATTATGAATAAATATCATACTCACTTTACAAAGCCTCACTTTGTCATAAATCGAAGCCAGTCGTAAAATGGTACTCTTACAAAAATTAAATTTTCAGAAATAAAGTTGGGACTTTTAATCAATTAAAGATCGCCTTACACCTTACTAAGTAAGGTCCTATTTTGGAAATCGCTCCCATATTAATACACCTTATGTCAAGTGTAATTTTACGCTTTTAAAAAAGGATACGCTCCAATGATTTTAGAACTCATTGCGGTCTTTGCAACATTAATTATATTCTCCCTACCCAACTCCTCCACTGGTATTGTAAGATTATCTGTAATATATCTACATGCCTCCTTACATGCCAGACGATACCCGCTTATAATGGAGGTGGGATGAATCTTCTGTTTCACCAGTTCATCTGCGTTCTACATGCACAGATGTATTACTACACTTCAAATCAATTAGTAAGCACAAACCTTTAGAAGCTCTGCTGCTATAATAACCACAGATGTAGTCCCATCTCCGACTTCTTCATCCTGAAGCTGTGCCAATTCCACTAATACTTTCGCGGCGGGATGTTCTACTTCAAGTAAACGTAGAATGGTGGCTCCATCATTAGTGACGGTCACGTCGCCGATATCGTCAACTAACATTTTGTCTAAACCGACTGGACCTAAAGAGCTTTTCACAATGTTTGAGATAGAGCATGCGGCCATCACTGCAATGAGAGAAAAATTGACAGACGGCGATCATAACTATACAATAACAGTAATTTAAGGATATCAAAACTATTCAAATATGCAAATCAATTCAGCGGATATGGGGGAAGAAAGGGAGAAGCGATAAAATCACATGTGTGAAACCGGAATAGGTTATGTGAAAATCATCCTTACCGTTTTGTGTTCGTACAGGAGCACCTGAAGTTCTGGTTCCCGCAACTGATAAAGGACTTGCAAGTGTAGACATTGTGATTGATTTCTTTTTTACAATTCACCAATTAACAAATTTCGATGAATAATTATTTTGGAATTAGCACTTTTTGTTTAACAAATGCTAGTGACATATAAAAGAAGGGGATTTTAACTTTATTACCAACTGGGAGAGATTACACTGCAAGACCATAGAATAATACGTACACTAGAACAGTATGTATTGCTAGAGCAGATTACTGCTTTACCGTATATAATTACTGACAGTCACTATTTCATTCAATTAAACATTCGAGCATTACGGCACTTCCCTTAACTTCAGTAGGCATTGTTTATTCATTAATGGATATTCCACCGACCGTTAGTACGTTTGGGTATAGTCCAAGCAAGGGGCGTGTCTCGGGTTAATCCAATTGTTCGGATTCTTATTTAGTCTCCAAAGTGTCTCTCTGGCAGGTGCAATCACGAATGGCTTAAGATGATTGTTATCTCACTGATAAGATCAAAACAGGTACTGCGCCTAAAGCTGGATTCACATGAATACGAAATCCGACGATACGGTCATCCGAAATGCTTATGATTGTTCAATAGTTTAAAATGTCAAGTACATTTCAAATTATTGACCAATCATAAGCATTTCGGATGATGGTATCGTCGGATTTTGTATTCATGTGAATCCAGCTTAATTAAGTTGGTAATTTCATACGGTAGTCTTTACACCCCTGAACTGGGCTGGTATTGTTCAGTGGGGGTAATCCGAAATCTACCTCTAATTAAACGAGAGGGCGTAAGAAACCAAAATAGTAGAGATGATAAAATAATTAATTTACATCAGCCTAACCATTAGATATTGCATGTGTATAGGTAATCTAATATATCCCCCAAAAAAGTGGAGTGCTTCAGCTTGCTTTACTAACACAATTAACTGAGCACAACGAAAAAGGTCAATTCCAGACTCGATTAAAAAATTTATGCAATTAGACCCTTAACATAAGCTACATTTCGGCTGGTGTTAGTTAAACCTTAAAGATGTACTTAAATAAATAAATTATCCCTCTCTTGACCTATGTACTTAGATGTTACAGGGGTTCTCCGATAAGTGATAAAACCGTGCACAATAATAATGATACCCAATGGCGAAAATAAATAGCTACAAGTAGCATGACTGGTTGATTGAGATTCAAACAAATAATAATAAAATTATATACTGTATTCCTAGAAAAATAATCGAGAAAAATTTAATTTAATGTATATATTTGTAAATTCTGTTGTAAATAATAAAAGTTGATAGAATGCATAAAACTGAAACACTTGCATAAATGTAACAAATTACGTGCTATTGTAAAAAGCATTATAACACCTTACAATATGATCATATTGGTTAGGTACAATAAAGCATTAAATATAAATAACTGAATGAACTTGTTTTACTTCTCTTACATAAGATTTTAAATGCCTCTTATTTCTTTGATATGTACATTGGAAGTAGAAAAATAAAAACCTTTTTGTTAAAACATGCAGTACAACAAATAATACTTAAAAAAAGGTGGTCAAAGTTTAGTGGTAAAGCAGTAATTTAAATTGTCTTTGTCACACACTGAACTTTTATTAACAGACTGTACCAAAGTTATCCATATAATTTTTTATGTTGATTTTTGTTTTTCGTAAAGCTGGTTTTACATCAACAAAATAAATTGGTCAAATTCTTGTTCAAGTCGTTTTGACAAGAAAATGTTATGAGTGTAAACACGGAATTGGATGTAATAACTTAATCAATTTCTTGTCGCATTTTTATGAGCTATAATATCACGATTTTCCTTTTTCTATTCCGTAATCTTCTATTCAAGACAGAGGGAAACATTCAATTTTTTTTCTGCACAATTAAAAAAATGACAACCTAATCTTAAAATAATTAAAGGTTGGTGAAATTGTACAATGACTTTAAAAACAACAAGAAATTGATCAAGTTAACAGCAGTGTAAAACCAAGGAACTTGAGCAAGAAATTGTTCAATAAATTGATAAATAACTTCATGAAGAAATTGTTGATGTAAAACTAGCTTAATATGAAATAATTTTCATGACAGTAAATTGGTTGCTACTTCATAACATGTTTCAGTTTTGGTTAAAGAAGGGAATGAGGATAAAAAATCAGAACAATGAAACTTTGATTGGTCCTCCATCCTCCAAAATATACTGTTAATTGCATTCGAAATTGGATAATTTTGATACAGAAAGTTAGGCAATACATGTTTCCTGAAAACCAACATACCTACTGTGTAAACACAGTTCAAATTAACGTTGTGCAAGAATTTGATTGATTTTTGATTAAACATTATCACACTGGAATGACCGCTCTTGAATAAGAAACGTCACTTAAATACTTATTCAGTATGTCATAAAGTACATTTAAAGGTCTTCAACTTACAACGAAACAAGTAACATTAATTATAGTAGATTTGTCAAAGATATTGCTTAACCACCAATTACAATAACGTCGCTATATCCAACATAATATGGGTACAAAAGTAAATAGTCAAATATTGTATATGTACACATATTAGACTGCATATCAGACAAAGACACGAGGTGATTTAACGCTTGATTTATAATTGTACCGATCTCACATGTAATCAGTGAATAATTACATTTTACGATTAATGAAAATAATTTGATTTATTGACTAACCAGGTCACGTTATATAGTTAAATAAAAGTCCTTTGGCGAATATCTCCTTAACATTATAAAAGTTCATAATCTCGGTCACAAAATAAATTAATTTCGATGCACCCAAAAATATTATTATTTAAGTAAAACCGTCCGGTTTTTCGTTTTCCTCAATTGCAGTATTATAAATTCACGCTATAACTCTACAAAAATCTAAACTATAATAAAATCATAACAATTATTAGTTGTACAATTTCTTTTATACATATTAGTTTACAAACTGGGATTTTCAAATTTGGGCCCTCTCGAAACGATGATTTCCTCGTAAGCGCCGGCTTGCTCTAACTCTAATACTTGGAATTTTTTTAGTACGAGTAAACTATAAAACTTCTGAGCTGCTTGCTTTCTTGAATGTCGCATGCACATGTCAGTAAAGTACAATTTATCTGTATTGTGTAGTTTAGATCGCACTTGGGTGAACACTTGAAACGCACGTTTGTTAAGCACACGTTCTTCAAATTGTTCGTCCGTTTCGTTTTCCATCTGTTCATCGGCCTATGAAAATAGCAATATATCAGTTATACGAATATGTTTTTACCTTGCACAACCCGCCTTAACCAATGAGTACGGATACTCAGGATTTGAGTTCCACACAAAAAATATATTAAGTTCATACAGAAAATTACAACAAAAAAATCTGGCCTCAGAAGTGTTTCGTAGAAATAATCAACTTTATTTTTTTATATGATCCCTTAAAAAAAGTACATACTATATCGAGTCGAATTTTTTTTTACGAATACAACGATGTACGTCACACAAAGAAAACAAAAGTTGGACAGCGCCCTAATCGTGCGAGAATACCTATCGGAACAAGTTTTCATTTTTCAGGGAAGTTAAAAATTAAAGAGGCCCTTTTAATTTTAAAAACACAAGACCAAAAAAAATATTTTACTTACTGGTCCGGCAGAAGGTGGGAAATCATAATCCGCATGCCATGGTGACTGTACACGTTCCGACATAGCACCAGCTGGCATTTGGGTAGGAACATTTTCATCATAACCCATATTCGCCATTTGTAATTGACTCTGTTTTTAAAATTCAAACATATTAATATTCACCTTAAAATACAATTGGCTCACCTGATTATATCCCATATTATCCATTGGTGCAAGTGGAATATCTTGTATTCTATGAAGAGAGTCAAGATCGCTTTGGGTGAGAGGTGTCGGATGGGGAGGTGCTGCAGATGTCATTTCTCCTAAGATATCCTCGGTAGTGGCAGGTGTCATCGGAGGTACTAAACCACCCAAAGATTCCTGTTCTTGCAATAGCGAATGTACCTACATAGCAATTTGATATAAATTAATGCAAAAGATCATTGCAGATCTCACCTGATCTGGTGGCAAATGAGGCATTTCTTCAATATGTGCCAAAGGAGTGGGAGGTGCCGTTGGAGAAGGATACTGTTGTGGGGCGGGAGTGCTGCTGTACATCATGGAAGACTGACCGACACTAGGCGGATAACCGACCGCAGGAGGACCAGGCGTACCTGGATATCCTAGTTGTGGTTGAGGTGTACTGGGGTATGTTACAGTTGGCGTGGGCGGTACACTGGGTATTGTAGGATATGCAGGAGGTGGCGTAGGTGGAGGGGGCATAATAACTTGTTCACTTTCCTCGTGCGCTGGTGGAATTATGTGTGAAAGTTGTAATGGGGTAGGTGGGGCAGATGTAGGTATCATAGCACTTAAAATATCCTCCTGTTGAGGGAGTGGTTGTGGTTCAGGGTGATGAATTGGTGTTTTGCTCTAAAAACAGTATGTGAACACATACACAATTTTGTGTAAATTTTACTTACAACATCCTCAACAATTTTTCTTTTACGTCCACGTTTTGGAGGAGTAGGTTCTATACTAGGTTGTTCTTCTGCTTCACGGGGTTGTTCTAAGGCTAAAGAATCTGCATCACCTAACATAGCAAAATCTTCAGTACCTATACACCTCAATATCAAATGCCTTTGGTAATTCTAAAACAGTATCTGATTTAACTCTAATTATTTTGTAAAATTGAGATACCTTCGATAACAGTCTAGCAGGTATGGCCCTAGCCGGTAAAGCGAATAATTTCTCTACACCACCAGTTTCCTTCCAATGCATTAGTCGCTTGGTAGGGGGAGCCAAATCTAATGTTGTAACAATGTCCGACGTGTCTGATAATTGATTCTTCATTTCTTCTCCCGATATATTCTTGATTTCATCCACTATAAGTTTCCGTTTACGCTTCGCCTTGGTTAAGCCTAAAAGGAAAGAATGTCCTTTTATCAATTAAGTATGCAAATGTTCAAATTTCAATTTGTTTAAAATGTCAAATACATTTACTTTCCCCAGCTTACCTCTCAGCACAGAAGCATCTACAGGTGCCAATGCGAAACTTTCTTCTTCATTTTGCAACAAAGTAGTCTGTTCTAAAGGTGGTGAGGCATGGGGCGGTTCTTCAATTTGACCATATTGCTCTGGTCGATCTATTGCCGGGGTCGGTATTTGTAATGCACCCGGTTCGGGAGCTATCGAGCCTAAAGCAGAATGTGGTCTGGAGCTTGCAGAACTAAAGCAAATTTTTTAAGTAAAAATGAAATACAAGTGAACATATAGTAAACCTATGGCCTCCAACAGATGGGGGACCACCAAAGTGGTCCATGTCATCATCTTCACTATCATGGGGAGATGAAGGGCGAGGCACGGGCGCTTCTGGAATACCCGGCTCGACTGGAGGCACAACATCCATAGGGGTATCATCAAATAAGCCTCCTTCAAATAAGCCACCGGCTAAAATTGAGTTTAATTAGTACAATAAATCATTTAAAAAAAATCGTGACTGTTTTATTGCATATTTAATAGTTTTCAGGTAATTTAATTTTGAATCTTACCCTCTCCCTCTAAATATACAAGAGTGTCTTGCAGACTATCTCAACTGCTATATACATAACGGGCGATCAAAAATGAGTTGCTGTCGAGTCGCCTTTGGAGATTCAAGTTAAGCATGATTTCCCATGTAAACAAAAATTCCATAGGTGACTCGACAGCAACGCATTTTTGAACGCATAGTACTATTACATGGCAACCATTTTTCAAGATTCAATTGAAATGGGATGAGGGGGGAAGGGGGAATTTTAATGTCATTTGCAGTTGCACCAAAATTGTTCGTTTTTCTTGATGATAGTATTATAATCAATTTTTCGAAATCGACCCACAGGTTTTTACTCTTAAAATGAACTCTCCCACCCAACAAATATTTTTTTCCATTTCTTTTTATATTGTAGTTGTGAAACATCATTGATACATTAATTAAATTATACCTTTTGTTAATATAAAGTGAGTATGTGGGCTGTGGGGGGGGGGGCCATCTAATATGATATGTATCAAATAATACCTACCTTAACCTCGACCTTAACATAACATTTGCTTTTTTTTTGGAAAATTGCAAAAACAAAGTTTTTTCAATTTTTCTACCAATATTTTTTTGTATAAAAATCACTTGATTTAAATCATGGAATGAACAAAACAGTCCAACGGCAAAGAGAAATTAACTTCTTACGGAAGGAGTATGATATAGCAGTTACATGGCACCAAATTGCAAGTATAAGCACTACTAAAGTTAATAAAAAACTTACACATTATATTTTGGTCAATATTCGAGCCAAATCCATCATCACGAATCGGGGCATCAACCTCCATAGGCGTATGGGAAGGTTGAGTGCCAGACGTTGACGGGATTGGTTCTCTATCCTTATCTAAATGGCTTACACCATCAAGCCCTGGCCCATCACTAAATAGCAGATTGCTCTAAAAGTACATTACAAATACACCCTGCGTAACTCAAAATTAGCAAACAAACTTGTTCCATTGAAGGTTCTAAAGCCGAAGTGTGTCGCATTAAGTCCGGTGCATCGGTATCGAAACCCATATCCCCAAAACCATCGTCGTTAGATACCAATGTAATATTACCATAATCTTCTCGCATCGTAATTTCCTCTGCGCGTGATTGGTTTAAACTGAATTGTGCTTCTATATCTACATCACTGTAAATGACTTTTGTTAATAGGTCACCTAGGCAATCAAAAACTTACTTCAGTTCCGGCATTGTAGTATCAAAATCGTGAAACACCTCCGGTAATGTAATTGCATTTACGGCAGCTTCGCGATGCTCTTCTGGCAAATCGACCATGCCCGGCCTGAATGCCATTTTGATTTTAACAAATGCTTCATTGCAATCGGCGAGCAAGTATTTTGCTTTGCGAGAATAAATTCGCACCACACCTAACAGTAGATGACCCGACGTTCTCAATGCCATTTTCACTTTTGGTTGCAATATGCCATCAACGGATTTCTCAATGTTGGTCTCGAATACATGGGCTTTTGTTAATTTTTTATCCCAATGAGCGGCTAGCCAAATTCGGGCCAGTGGGCCCTTTTTGGCTAGTACAAAATGTGCATAAAACATGTTTATGCAATTTAAATTATAAGTTATTCAAAAATAAACCTGAAAGGAAAATTTGAGATTAAAAATGTAATGGTAAATAGGAGTTATTATTGGCGCCTAAATCAGTAAATAAACATTACTCACCATTCAAACGTTACGCACTGTAGAATATAAACTTTACTGTTTAATAGAAGTTTTTCTCTGTACAGTTTATTAGAATATTCCATTACAGCCACAATAGATAGGCCTAAAAATAATAATTTTTAGGAAACCAAACTTAAACACAACATATGCAATCAAAATGGCGACTACTACTTGCCAGGGGGGGCAGGGGAATGTAAAAAAAGGCTTTTTATTGTATTACGCATGCGTGAGGTAACGGATTACTTTTTGTTATAGTTCAGTAGCGTAACATGCATTGGGGCGACACTTGAATGAAACTGGCATTGGAAAATGATTTATAAACCTCCTACAATAAACATAATGCGCGCGGGACCCCTGTCACCCCCAAACTGGGCTTGCCGCGGATTTAAATTGAACTTCATCAAATTGGACAGATGTGTCAGCTTTTGCAGAGAGTTCGTGTTCTTCATTCGAGAATCTTTGAAAACGATAAATTTTTTTCAGGGTTAATGTCCCTTCAAACTTTATATCAAGAAAAAAAAAGAGGATGTACGGTTTGTATACAGCAATACAGCCTAGTTTAAACAAAACACTTCACAAAACAAATTCAAATAAAGGAAAAAAAGCAAACAAAATACAAGCATACCTACCACGCAAACAACTTACTGTGTTCGATAGAAATATTCATAACTGACTGAAAACGCAAGCCAAACCGGCCTGCCCGCGTATAGCCGGCTGAAATCCCTTTGACCTTTATCTAGATTTGCCCGCTAGCAAAATTATGCCTGCAGCTGATGTTAGCGGCCTTGAAATGCAGGTAGGTAGTAATTTTTGCATTTCTTTATATCATATTTATGTTTTGTATGCAGCATTTTATATTTTTTGTGTATTTCCATCGTTGATTTTGAAATTTACTTGATTTAACCTTAATGCATAATCACATATTTGATACCGTTATCCTTTTGTTTGTAATCGTTTTACGTTTTTGGTGTAATGCTTGCTTAATTAATGTTTATGTTTTGATTACATAGCCTTGACCAGAAGTAGCATTCATATAAATTTTGATCATTTTAATTTAATATGTGGAAATGACCGAGTTGTTTGTGTGTGTACTGATTTGTTGTTTGTAACTAACATTTTCTCCGTGAATGAAGCAGTCACGGGGGTTACAAAAAACTGTAATCCAATTGAGTTACGACACTCAATTCCGTGATTGTGTTCGACCAAAGAGTACCCTCTTTGGTTCGACTTTCAACTGTAGGCTCGAAACCCCGAACGAGGGGCGAGCTATCTATCTTGCGGGGGCGAGATTACGCTAATCAATACTGTTCGGTTTAGAATCTATGTGCACTAAATGAGTTACCATTCGCTAATTTCTACATATCTTGTCCTATGTTGAATTTGCCTACAAGGCCATGTAATTTTCCATTTGACTCTTAACAAAAGGATTTTATTGCACCAAAGATGAGTCACATCCTTTGTATTTCACCCTTTCTGACAGTCTTGGTACCTGACCCATAATTCCCAAAACGTTGCCGGGTTAACTTTATTTCCATGTTCTTGTAGTGTGAAGTTAGCGTAGAACCTGGGGGTTAATTACACTACAACCTGTTAACGCCTTAACAATTAAGGATGCTCCGTAATTATTTATTATTATACTCAACACAAAACATACAACCGTTAAAACCAAAGACAGCTTGATTTTTTCTTTTTTAGTTTTTTAGAATCCTTTTTAACTAGATCGCTTATACATTCTGATTGGCTACGGAGATTTGGGGTATAAGTAACCATAAACCCGCAGCTTACATCTTCTTTGTCCAACGAAGATTTGATCTGTAAAACAGCTCAACTTAATTGTTATTTTTTTAATATTACCACATAGACTACCTACTATAGTGTTATTAGTGTAATCTGTGATACTATTTATATTCGAGCTCCTAAGCCAGTTCATGATTTTGAACCTTCTGTCCGTCCGTCCGCGTCTGTCTGTGGTCAAGATAACGGTTTCGAATTTCCAAATTCTGTTTTCAGTATTATGTTTATCATCGCTCAAGAAAGAACTGATTAAATTTTCAATGACCCAGGAGCTCGTTTGCTATATTTGTTAGAAGTTTATTTATTGATATGCGTATATGTCTACCTGCACTAATTGCAACCAAATACACCAATATGTAATTGGAACCGTACTCATGTAACAATAATGCGGATTCAAAAATTTTGCAATATACCTATTTTGTACTTTAATTTATGGCAAAGGCAATATAGGCATGAAAGAATATTATTTTACATAGTCTATATAGGTATAAAAAACAGTAAGACCGAAATGTGTTTGTAATCTTATAACTGAAGAACGGCTTGACCGATTTTAGTGATTTTTGGTTTGTTGGGTGTCTTCCCTGGGAATAGGACATAGGATATTAAAACATGCGAAAATTTGACCGGAAAATGGGAACATTCACGATTATATATAAAACAGAAAGACCTAAATGTGTTAATGACGTTCTATTTAAAAGTACAGCTGTACCGATTGTAATGACTTTTGGTTTGTTGGATTTGTTTTCGCTGGGATATTAACACATACGAAAAATGCAGGAAAGAAATAAATTAGATGCTTTGCTACCACGTGCATTTTCACTCAAAACAAAAAAGTTAATGTAGCTAACTTCGCTAATTTCTGAACACACCATTTAATAACGTACGTCAATATAGTTTATAATTTTGTATTGTTGTCTGTCTGCTCGTTTGTCTGTCCGTCTGTCTGTCTGTCCGGTCGTGTGCATGATAACTTTGTGTAGAAACGTCCGATCGCTTTGAAAATTGATACACATGTTCTTCAGGAATTTGTTTTGCGCGTGCACAATTCGATTTTTTGACTTCTCCGTTAGTTATGACCCGAATTGCATGAAATTTTGTATGTACGCACCTCGAATAAAGGCAAAACTAATGCCGAATCAAAAGTTTGTTTTACAAACTATTTTAATCTGGTGGGATGGAATCAATCCCTTAAGGTGTGCTGTAAAAATGATGTAGGTATGCGAAGATCTCGGCGATCGTTTGGTATTCAGTTGTATCAGATTTTTAATTCTAAGGCGGTACGAAGTTCGCCGAGTCAGGTAGTAACATAAGTAAGTAATAAGTACTTTTATGAAAGATCATATACCTATATAGGTAATTGATTATATATAGGTACCAATGATATTATTTTGAAAAAAATATGTATGCATCACATGACTAAGGTCCTACTTTTGGAGCGAAGATGACAACTTTTTCCGTCGAATAATCCTCAATGATGGGGCTCACTAGACACCACCACAATTTTGATATAGTATTGCATATTTGCGTTTTACAATATTGCAAAATCCTGTTTTGAACCTAAAAGTTATGATTTTAAACAATTCTATAATTGCCATAACATATGCATTTGCAAATGAAACCTTATTCTCTCAATATAGTCGTAAAATACGTACCACTCGTTCGCGGCAATTTTCAATGAGACACGTAGAAGATCCATAGCCACAAAGTGCACATATATTTTGCGTGTAGTCTGCTGGTTTAATAGGTTCATACACCAAAACAATAGGATCTAATTTTTTCTCCCATTTCTTTTTAGTTGCTTTTGATGGTGACTCCTTCGTTATACTATTATCTAGTGTTTTGGTTTTACTAGTCTTAATGTTTTCAACTTTATGTACACTATTTGGAATATATGTGGACACTTTGGCGGACGTCTGAGATAATTTTACGCTTTTGTGGATTTGTAACTTGTCCGATTGTTGGACTCGTTGCTCTATACTTCCTAAAGTTTTCAAAATTGCATCGTACTGCCCACTAACAGATAATAACAAGCATTGCAGATTTGACTGATTATTAAACATATATTTTTCTTTGGAATACGGATCAGCAGCAATTTCAGACTCATCACTTAAAGTGATTGTGTCACAATTCTCATTGTCTAACATGTAAGTTATGTTAGACTTTAACTCTTCGGCGTGCTTAATAAAATCCTGCGCTGCCGATTTCAAATATTTAGGGTTCACTGCAGGATTTATGTTGATATAGGTATTTTTCATCAGTGAAATTGACGATTTTACAATAGATGCGTCGGTTTCACTTTTCTTCTTCGAATCTTGTGCAAATTTTTCGGTGTTCTTCATGTGGTCAGAAGGGTTGAGGTTTTTTGATTCGTTTGTATCACCCATTACGTATTGATCTTCCACTTTACTGGGAATAGTAACATTCTTAACTTCAGGTGCGACTTCGTACGTAATATAATTTTCAAAGTAGTGTACTTTGTTTTTCAATTCTTCGATTGTCGAGACCATTTGCTCAATTACCTTTGCTTCAAATTTAGTTTTATCCGAAATGCTTCTCTTTTTGAGACTTGGGCGAAATTTTCCATTGATATGCTTACTCTTTATGTTAGTTAAACCAAACTCCTTGTGCTTACATTTTTCATCTCCTTTTGCATGCTCAAATTGTTTCAGCCGCGGACCAAATACAGAGTGCCCGTTCATTGTTTATTATAATTAGGTAGTAATAACAAACACCACATATGAAATTTACATTGTAAAACAAGGAATGGTATATGGCAATGGCATAGATGGAATATGTCAAATTGGACAGAATCTATGACAGAATTGAAGTGAATGTTGACATGGTTTTTCAGGTGTAACTTGTTGAGTGCTCCTGACCGATAATGTGAATATGCTGTTGCGTTTTATGGAATATATGTATAAATGCAATGCAATAAAAAAAAATAAAAATATATTTAAAATACGTACAAAATGATAGCCGACGTGCAAGCGGCGAACGCTATCGTCAGAGTGATAAGCACAGATGCAGGTCTTTTGACTGGTGGAGCATGGTGCGAAGCTGGTAAGGCAAACCGGTTCTGCAGGTGGAGCTGGTTGTTTCTTAAGAACCATTTACGAAGTGAATATCTGCTGGAAACGAGTTAAATTTAACCATTATTATACATTCATACCACTTAGTAAGCCACGAAATATTTCTCAGACTATGGAAGAGCCACCTGCGAAGGTTGCTAGTCCCCTCCTCAGGTCGTGGATAGAGGAATGTCTCCCAGATATGGGTGGTACCGCGGAAATCAACTACCCGAGGTAGACTACAACTAACGCAGTAGAGTCAGTCTAAAATGAGCTGTTACAAACAGCGTCTGATTTTATATTTACTAACCTGCGTAGTTAAATGCCATAATCTTAGTGGTCAAAAAAGTTTGTTTACATTAGAAAAGGAAACAGAAGCCACGTCCGTCATGTTACTGGTTGGTAAACACTCCTCTCTTTCCTTCTTAAAGTAATATTTTGCGTACCTAACTTGTATATGTAACCGACAACACAAAGTACAAGAGCAACATAACATATTGATGGGTGGGTTTTTAATAGTGTCACATACAGATGAAACTGAAATACTGGATAAACAAGTATAACTTCTAAATCCAATTAAACGAAAAATCTAAACAATTCCAATTTATTTTGAGGTTGGTATGTTTCTGCCTTGTCATAAGTACTTCATCTGAGCGAGGAAGATCCAAGCGTTGCCAACATTTACACAACACAATCATATGATGTAAATAGTTTGTTAATATAAATATATTTAAAACAAAGTTAATAACAATGTCTATAAAGATTTTCTGTTTCCTAAAAGATAATTACACTGTACATATTGGTCTAGAAATAGTAGATATTATAGAAGACATGTATGTATGTGCTATTAATGTTTTTTAGTATGTTTAATAAAACAGTTTAGTGAAATATAATCATTTTCAGGGCCAATATAAAATAGCAACACAAATAAAATTCCTTTGTTGCCAAATTTAGTATGGAATTATTACCAACGTACCCAGTCTTATACATTAACTATAAAATAGTGCCCCTAACGAACTGTTTGAATCGATTAAACAAACAATTTGGCAGTACTTCAAAAATTGGTAATGTTCATTAAAAAAACTCAATTAAGAGCACTATGCTAAAACTAAGAGATAAAAGTATATAAACCCACAACCTATACAGTTGAGAACAAATGATTATCAAAATATGGCATATTTATGAAAAATTTACAATGATTCTGAACTGAAAAGAATTTACTAAATATCAGACTTTTACAAATTTTCTAATTGACTAGAATATTCATAATTTCAATTAAACTTATTTGACATATTTTAACATTAGTGCCATTCAGAAATCGTCTGGAACAGTGTACAGTACAACCTCGACAATCCAAATACACGCTAATCCGAAATCGCGATAGTCCGAAATAATTTCGTTCCTCGTAACAACGATGACACCCCTGAAGACGTTGAAAAGAATAAAGTGTATTTCTTAATGCTTGTGTCCAAATTTATTATTTTCACTAGTTTCGCGATAATCCGAAAGGTCGGTGGTCCGAATCTATTCGGATTAACGAGGTTGTACTGTATTTTGATAACTGATGTAATACTTGTTCCACTACTGTTCACCAATCATTGTAATATAACATATAAAAAATAATGATGTAAATATCGAAATTAACAAAAAATTTACATTTCTTATCAGTAAAAAATAAATATTTCAACAATATAAAAAAGTATACAGCCTGCACTACAAGATCAACGGACTGACTAAAACGTCCCAACTTCCTAAAATTTAATTTAGTAATATATGACCATTACAATTGGTATATAGCTCACAGTATTGAAAAGGAAAATCTAACAGCTTACCGACAAGATATACCACATGTTGTGTTAAACTTCTTTGTAATTATTACCCACACTTTATGATGAAATGCATTTTTTAAATATACTTGCCTAAGCTAAATCATGCTAATTTTGTATATTTGTAAAATTATACAGTGTATAAGAAGCAAAAAAAAACGATTAGTTTTCTAACAATGACGTCTTTGTAAACATACACTGTATAATTAAACATTATTGACCTACAATGTAATAATTTATTAATTTAGCTACATAGTCTAAAATCTATTCTCTGTTCATAGGAATTGAGGAACAACTATAATGGTAACTGGTATTGGTCTGACTAAGTAACAATGACATCCTAACGAGAATGTCTTCATTGTGTGAAGAGAGCCCTTGCATACTTAACAATGAATAAATCTCTAATTTACTATCTAATTGGCAGTGCTTAAACGTTAGTTGGCGGTTCCATTCCACAAATAATAGCCTTCATTACGCTAGCCGCAGCTAGAGAGGCGTACGGTTGCCACTCCTTGCGTCGTGTACCATCCTTATAATCCGATACACCTCTTACACATATGAAACTATCCTTACAGTTACCCAAAATCGATTCGATTACAGCGTCAAACTCGCAATCAAATGCAAGCGCGCCGACATGAGTAGCATATTGTTGTCTTAGCTGATCATCTCGTACAATTTGTCTACCGGATGCAATTGGTGAAAGATGCACTCTTGGACAACCTTCTTGCCTAAAAATTCACATTTTTCCCCAAATTTACTATGCTATTGTACATTAGTACAAACAATAATGAAAATAAAAATATTACCCACAAATTGTCTAGTACATACCTTTTTGTTGCCTTATCTTGAGGTACAGGATGAGCCACTTCAATTAAATCTCTCTCTCCAATGTTCATATACAGTTTGTCAGTTTCCGAGCTTGGAGGTCGGAAGTCTGGTTCAGGTTGACACGATAAAATATTCAAACCGTCTCTTAAATACTTTAACCAAGGAGGGGAAGACTTATTGTCATTGTCGGAAGATGTCTTTAAATCTGCTGCGATTTGTTGTAAATTTAAGTTAGAAGGATTGTAGGATTTTGTTTCATAGTCGTATCCCTTTTCGTTCTTCTTTGCGCTTTCACAGTATAAGTAGATATACCTAAATAAATTCCAATGAAATTTGAATAAACAAAAAGTGGTGGAACGCTCACCTGTCCTTAACTGGACATGATACTACAACATCACCCAAGCGTACGTGTTTGTTATAATCTGTGTAATGTGGAACTCCACCGGCGACACCAACCAGGAAAACATAATCCACTTTTTGAAACGTTCCCAAGAGTCTAGTTGTAGTATTACCAGCTGCAGTCATAGCTTCCCTTGTATGTCCCACCGATGGCAACTTAGTGCACACAATTCGATGAGCGCCAATGTTACCTAAGGTGTATACATTCGATTCACCTGCAAATGGAAATAAATTTAGCAACTTAACATATTATTAGTAAATCACAATGAATACGTTATTTCCAAAATGAGCACACCTCAGTCGATGTAGGGGCGACTATGTAAAAGCTTCATAACTACTATTTTAAAAGTGAAATGGATGTGCAATCCTAAAAAGCATCTGCAGAATATGACCGGATACAAGAGATTAAATGGGGTCTAAAAACATATTCACACTGTACTAGTGCTGTCAATCTCAGGATATTTAATTCAGGCGGATTTTAAAACTGCGAGATTTGTGTAAGTTCATCTAGAGATTTTTGCCAATACGTAGCATTAGTTCCATTTTGAGAAATCATCGGAACAATTGTATTTGTTTTTCTAATACGTACAATATTAAAAATTAGCAGTAGTATCTAACCACACATTCTAACATATAATATACAGTGAATTTTTTTTAAATGCGAAGATAGGAGTTTGTATGCAATGTAATTTCCCTATGTTCGATTTTAAAAAAAACACATCAATCTATTGAGTAGTTCAAATGAGTAGTAGATACAGCACTACCGCCGTCCAATTTAATTACGAAATCGGTTAGGTTATTGCTTAGAATGTCAAGGAGGACACTTCGAACATTTATTGTAATTGTTTGCGTTATTTATTTTCTTATTTTCTTCATTTATGTATTGAATAAAGCAAACTAGTAGAATACCAGGTGCACATGGCCTACAAATAATTGAAGGTTGGTTCACAATGAATTGTGATGTCAGCGCGTGCCATGTGAAGTTAAGTTATCGTAAGTTTAAGAAAAATTTATCCTAAAGTTGCTATGGCCTCACATGGCTTAATTAAAAAAATCTTACCGAGTACTCTTCATCATAAAGACTATGAATTGCTGTTCATAGTCACACAATTTGCGCGTTTTGGGAATGTAAACCGCGCACATCTCATAGATTGATGTGTTTTTTTTAAAATCGAACATAGGGAAATTACAATGCATGCAAACTCCTATGTTCGCATTTAAAAAAAACTCACTGTATAATCCATGTGTATGATTAACACACTACGTAAGAATTTAAAATGACTGAAACATCAATGAGTTGTAAATATTTATTGTTTGAACCAATGTAAGTGGCAGCATAGTCTTTTGAACCCAAAGCATTTCTGTATGCAGGTGACAGCAATAGAATGGTACATATAGACAGATATACCGGGTTTATAAAAAAAATTAACATTACAGGTTAACATTAAACAATTTCTAGTAGCATAGTACTATATACAAGAGATTCAACAATATATGAATATGTGTTCGCTTTTCTCTGTATTACGCACCATGTAACAGGAGACAGTACAGATGAATTTACAGATTTCTACAGACGATTTTTAGATTACAAAAACTATGTTGTGTTGTGAATTTTTAACACAAATGTTTTAATTCATATACACTGTGCCCAAGATAGGGATCATCAGGGTCTCCGAAACCATAGAAGATATGACAATGGTCAAATTGGAGAAAAGATGTGCAATTAAAGAGTTATTATCATGCTTTAAAGTTTAAAGGAACCCAGAAAATTATGATTTCTTATGAAGATATGCCCAAAAAACCGAAGGCAGAACTGAAAAGCTTTTGAGCATAATCGCGCATGCGCAAGTATGTCAAATTCTCATTTCCGGCTAAACGGATGAACCGATTTGAACCAAGTTTGGTACACATATTCTTAAACATAAAAGAGCAAAATCACGCATGCACAGTTGTGCGAGTGGTATCTGTCCTAGCTACAGCAATTTTTTTTGCATCTGTTCAAATAACGTCAGAAAAAAATTTGCTGTGGCTAGCACAGATACCACCCGCACACCTGTGTAAGCGCGATTTTGCCCCTTAAGTTTAAGAATACGTGTACCAAATTTGGTTCTAATCGGTTAAGCCGTTTAGTCGGAAATGAGAGTTTGACACACTTGAAACCAACAGAGTCGCCAACTTTTGTCGTGTGGATAGTACACATTTTCTCATTATTCTAAATAACTTTACATTTCTTAGTAGTTTTAGCATAGGTTAAAATCCATGGCAAAGATTATTGTGGCAATGACTAAGCTGAACTCAAATTTGTTTGCGCAAATGGCCGGAAATTTTATATTTATTTTTATGTACTTTGGTAACTAGTTAAAAAAGCGAACACACACTGCTATAGTGTGGAATATTTGATACTTAATATTCTTTAATGGTGGATTATAGTTAACAATAATTAACGGCCTACCATTTGTTTGACCCATTTATGTAAGAACGTGAGACAGAACAAATCGTGCAGGTATGCTTAGAATTTTGTTAATCCGAATGTTCATGAGATTGTAACTGCAATATTTATGGCTAGGTCCATTTTTAGATTATATTTCATTACGCAAGCGAGACATAAATTTATTAATTTTTTTTACATAAACCCACTTAACAAAATATGCAAAATGTGCATGTGTTATGATATTAATAAGTTGCCTATATATACAGCACAGCAATTTACAATTAAAATGCACGGTTGGTAATCACATTTTAATATTAATTATAACTACCACAATGTAAAACATAGCATAATCAATTACGAAATACACTGTATATATAGATCATGTGCATAATTCATATGCTGCAGCTCGTGGAAGTGTGAACATAATTAAGCAAGTAGTTAATATTTCAAAGTACCACCTTACCAAATCGTGCCCGATGAAGGTCACTTGATGGACTGGTACATGAACCTATTGTTGATAAGAGTATTTATAAAATATTCTGCTTGTCATTCTCGAGAACGAGTAAACAAATTATATTACATGAGCAATACTTTCAGATTCAAACCACAGTTGAGTCAGAATTATCATAAATTACCAATGTTAGCATTCACACTACGAAACAAAGAACAAAAAAAATATAAAAACGAAAAAAAATATGAAGGACAGTAGTGCTCATAACCACATCGAGCGTTATAAATAAAACAAGTAAAAAGGTTTTCGCCCTAAGGCGAGTAACTTCAGCGCATTTTCCATAAATTGATCAATACTTCTCCAGGCCATACCTATGTGTTTTTCATTAATAGAGGCATATATAGTTAAAATTTTAAAGAAATACCTTCATAAATAAGGAAGTTGACACTCACTGCGCAGTTGATATTGCGAGTCCTGCGCATGCGCTTATTAATCTGATATTTACAAAATGCAATACGTTTGCTTTTACTATAAGCATCTTTGGTTAAAATTTCAAAGAAATATATATGCATAAATAAGAAAGTTGGCATTGCGCAGCCTGCGCATGCGCAGTTCAATCGTCAAGATTTTCCTCGACTCAGGTGCCAGAACGATACGCTACCGAATGCAAAAAGAACGAACCAAATATCTTGAAAACTGTAGGAGTAGTTAAGGCCTCGGACAGACGGACGGACAGAGAAACTGACTGGAATAGCGCACCCAACTTCGTTGGAAAATGCGCTAAAAATAAATAAAAGGTTTTTGCCTTTAGTGCATTTTCCATGAATGAATAACAAAATTGGCATTATGCAGTGTGCGCATGTGTTTATTAGAAGCATATGTGGTTAAAATTTGAAAAAATATCTCCATAAATAAGAAAGTTGACATCTGCGCATGCGCACATTAATCGTCAAGATGTTTCTTGGTTGAGATGCCAGAGCTGCTGAATTCAAAAAGAACGAACTAATATCTTGAAAACTGTAGGAGTAGTTATGATCTCGGGTGAACAGACTGAGAAAGTAGCCATTATAGCGCCTTCCAACATGAGTTGGAAAATGTGCCAAAAAGTCATTTGCGCTAGTTGCAATCTCATTGCAGCGTAATGCCGTAATAAACAAAAGAAAAAAAACGTAACGATAGACTAAACAGTGATCCTACAGAAATCGGGTTCGCTGTTTTGCAATTTCAGAGCAGCCACAGAAATCGATGCGAGCAAAGAAGATGAGTGTGTAAACGGAATTTTTTACTTATTTCGCGCAAGGGCACAAGACGGAGAGACTTCCAGTAATATTCTAGCTAGACCCTCAGCCTTGAAAAACATGGAGATTACACCTCATGAATCCACATCTATAATTAGATAATTACAAATAACTCCAAATTTGTCTCCTATTTGAATTTTTAACATTTTGACGAAATCTTGCATCGCAACAAGCAGTTTTGCATTCATCAGTGGCTTTATACAAAGTCTAGTTATTTGTTTGCCAATCCCCGCCCAAATCAAAAGTTAGTAAATTTCAAATTAATAAACTTTACAGTTCCTTGAATGGCTAAGGAAACAACAGTGCCAAGCTTAAAATTACTTGCCAAAACAACACAAGAAGTGCTGGTAGAATTCACAGTGGAATACATTTCTGTACATAATGGTATGTTGGTTGCCTAACCTGCGGTTAATAAGAGCTAAATTGTAATTAGTAAATGATTAGAATTATACAGTTATAGCTGAGTTCTAAAGAAAAAATCACATTATTCCGACGGAACTACTAAGACTGTTTAACACATACTGTAAAGAACATCGTCAACATGCTGTACACAAATAAATTAGAAATTTGGCAACCTGCAAAATGTAAACACAGACATAACCTCACATTTTATGCCAATCACATTTTTGGTAATAAGTTCGTGTTATTTAAGTAATTATGATAACGCCACGATTTAGTTTAACTCAAAACGATGAGACTGTTACTATTACCATTCGCGCCCCTTACTGTAGCCTGAAAGAGTTAGATGTTAGCGTGGAAGATTCGGAGTTCATATTTTCCTGCCGCCCCTACTACTTGCGTTTGAATTTACCTGGTAAGATTGAAGAAAATGATAAAACAAACAGTAAATTCGACAGCGATTCGGGTGAATTTACTTTCACTTATGAGAAAGTCGTATTTGGTGAGCACTTCGAAGATCTACAATTTATAACGAAACTGTTGGGTAAGAAAATTGAAATCGAAAGTGGAGGTCGTCTAATTGAAGTTATTGGCTCGCAAACGGTTCCCGAAACTGAAGTTGACGATGACATGAAATATGGATTCGCTATGCGTGGTGGTTACCGCTTTAATATTATCAGTGGGGAATTTGGAGATGTCTTCGACATTGACCCTCACGAGGTGAAATTTCAAGACAGAACTTCATTACGACACAAGAATGAACAGAAGGATTTCAATTCGGAACACTACTTGGCAGATTTATTTGATAATGACGAGCTTAGTGAATTACTAACTTTAAAAGTACCTTGGGAAGACTGTAGCGTGGAATTTACCTCAAAAGAATTGGACTTCCTTAAGGACTTACCCAATGTTGAATATAATTTAAGTGCGCAACAAATCCAATTTTGTCACAATAGTTTGTTGGATATTCTTTATAGCTACTGTTACGATTGCCGAAGCACATGCTTTGACTCAACGTGCGAATCTGGTTGGACTATTTCAAAATTGAGTGCCTCACTGTGCTGCTTTGATAGTTTTGCAACACCAAAAGAAGCAGTAATATGTGCATTTAGACGAAGTTTAATTTATCCTCTATATCGAAACTTTAATTTTTGCCAGAAAGTGCTATCAGATTTAAAAGTGCTTATTAGTCGTGGCGATCAATATATAATAAAATGTTTAATTGACATTTATAACATATTTTTAAAAGGGGACAGTGGTCGTTTTATTCTTAATAACTTATTTATTAAGGACTACATTGTGTACATCATGAAATGGGATAAAGAGCTGTGGTGTAAAACTGTTACAGTATTAAATAGTGTCACCATTCAAAAACAAGAACTTGGCTTAAACTTGGTGCAATTGGAAAAGGCAGTCGAAGAAGACGATCTAACCAGTACTTTGGCTAACTTAAGTCTCAACCACTGCGACTCTGATGATAGCGTGACCGACACAGATACCTCTGACAGTTGTGATGACGATTAAATCCTACTTACCAACTGTTGTATAACGAACATAAGTTTCCTTATTCTCTATCATCGCATCTACAGCTAACTTCTCGCAATACTGAGCGGTGATAATTGCAATGGTGGGTTGTTTAGCGGTGGCCATAGTTGGCATTTGCTTAACAATCGTTACTTGAGTGTCTTGAGATTGCTGGCGTGTGAAAGCACCATGATCCATCGCTTTTACAAGCCCTCTCGTTTGCAATTGCGACATATGTTGAGCTACTTCTTCTTCATCCCAATTATTGCCTCTAAAATAAATTGTTTGATTCACATTAAAATGTACCTATATCTCTGTACTTACTTTGATATATCTTGTATTGTAATTGGATTTGGATATGCTGATTCTATAAGTTCTAAAACTTTTTGTACTGAAAGCGTTTGAAGGTAGCCCAATGAATTTTCGTCTGCAGACACTAAAAGAATACTTAATTACTTAAAGAATGGTAAAAATTGCATGGTTTAGATTAGGATGAATATGTGTAATTGCAAACCGAAAAAAAATTAATAAAAAATAAAATACTGTGCTATATTGTGTTAGTTACTGTGAAAATCATTATTGATCTAAATCTTTCCAAGAGAATATGTGTACTTGAATAGCTCCCATTAGTCCGGCTCTTTGTGTGAAACATAAATTTTTAATGAAGCAGTCTGCTCATTTCAAACCCTCTTTGTGTGACTGAACGCTTAAAACGGTGGGAGACTACAAATTTTTAGTTCCGTTACTTTTTCTCAATCAATACAGGGTCATTCTTTTACAGAGACAGTTAGCCTTATATGGAAAAGTAGAAAAGATAAGCTTATAAAAATTTACACTCAAACGGTTCTCGACCATTAACTGCTCTTTTTTTTATAAAATAGTGGTAGTTCCACTTCTTGTTATACTGGAAGTAGGTAGACACTTCCTTAATTTAAATGCCAACCCCCATTTTTTATTCCACATTTAGATTAGTTTAGCAGACAATATTTATGGATTTTATGGAAAAAAATTGACAGTTAAGGCAGGTACTCTGGCGCTTTGTATCTTAGTAACCATTAGATGTAAAACAATTAAATTTTGGGGCTACCTACAAAAAATGCTAGTTATTCGAGTAATCATACTGATTGAATGAATAATTTAAAGGGTCTTCATAAATTATAAGAATATTTTATTCAGTTTTTTAAAGAAAAACTCGATTTTTTCAAATGGAATGCCCCTTTTTAGTGCATTTCCACAATAAAAAAAAAATGCGCTATTGTGGCCACTTTGTCCGTCCGTCCGTCCGCTCGTTTTGCGACGCTACTAGTTCTTTATCTTAAGAGCTATTGTTCTACTTTTTTCGCTATTTGGTTCGTTATGGTGTCGAGTCTTGTACCAAGGAAGGAATTTTTTCTGTACCGCTTACAAAAAAAGTTATTGTAAAAAAAACAAAAAACCGTTTTTTACATGTTCCATAATTTTACACTTTTGCCGTTTATTAACGATCCTAGAGATCGTTTATAATTTTGCATTGCTATCTGTCGCCTGCCGGTTGGTCTCTCCGTCTGTTCCTTTGTCTGTCTGTCCATCTATCTGTCCGTGTGAACGATAACTTTGTTTAGAAATGTTCGATCGCTTTTACATCTCCGTTAGTTATGAACTGAATTGCATGAAATTCAATATGGGCATAGCTTTAGCCATATAATACGCAATGCCAAAAGTTGAATCGAATCGATTCAAAATTCACAGTGCCCTTTTCGCATCTCGACCATTTATAAACCGAATTGCAAACTTTTTTACTTATAAAAGTATTTGAATGAAATTTGATACATAGGCACTTGGAATAAAGAAAAATCAACCGTCAATTCAATTTCAAAATTTGGTTTTGCGCATGCGCAGTGCCAACTTTCTTATTTATGGAGGGATTTAAATGAAATTTAAATACATAACCACTTGGAATAAAAGCTAATACAATGCCAGTTTCAAAATTTGGTTTTGCGCATGCGCAGTGCCAACTTTCTTATTTATGGAGGGATTTAAATGAAATTTGATACATAGCCACTTGGAATAAAAGCAAATTTAACGCCAGTTTCAAAATTTGGTTTTGCGCATGCGCAGTGTCAACTTTTTTAGTTATGGACGCATTTAGATGAAATTTTATATATAGGCACTTGGAATAAAGGAAAAGCTAATGCCAGTATCAAAATTTAGGTTTGCGCATGCGCAGTTCCAACTTTCTTATTTAGAAAATCATTGAAATGAAACTCTTCTTATAAACTGAAATTGAAGTAGCACGTCAAAAATGGATTGCACATGTGCGACGCTATCTTTCATATTTGTGGCCGGATTTTTACAATTTTAACAAAAGTTGCATCTTACAAATAGGGAAATGAATGCAAGTGGAAATGCGCTTTATGTAAATCGATTACGAAAAATTCATGAAAATAAGTATCGCTCTCCAAACTAGTCTTTTTTTTTGCCAGGGCATTAACTGCTACGGTCATATTACCTCAAGTATGACATACGCATTTTGCCATCGATCCCCAGATATACCAAATTTGGTATTTTGGAATTTTCTTTTCAAGTCTTAGTCATTAAGCCAGTTTTGTTTGTCATCTAATTCTGTCTTATAAAGCAAAGTGAAGTTTTGAAGCTGTCAGCATTTGTGTGCAAGTTAAGTGCGTCTAGATATTCACACACTTTGTATGACCAGATTATTTGGATTATGAAAAAAACTAAGTCATTTTTAAGATTTTTAATTTTAATTGTCGACCGCCTGCGTACGGGGTACCTCGTACCTAATATATCCAAACAAGCTTTGTAAGCTTTTCTTGCTTTCAGGTAGTGATAGAACGATATCACTTTTTTTTGCCGATACGATATATCGGCCGATACTGATATTTACGTGCCGATATATCGTATCGTATCGTATCGGCAAACAATAGATGGCGTTGGGTAATATTTACGAGCCTAAAAGAAATAGACTAAATGCAGATAGGGCTGAAATGTTAGTGTTTTTGCATCATAATATCAAAAAGTTAAATTTTAAGTATTAAGTATATACTGTATTTAGAACCTGCTATATTAGGTATATTTTTTGTTGTTTTTTTTTTAACTTTTTTAGTAAAAATGTTAACTTTAGAATAAAACATTTTATTTTCTTTAATAAAGTATTTCATTTATGAACTGAAGAGTTAAAACAGCTAAAAAAATTGTTTGCCGATATATTGGCGCAATTACCTTGCCGATACGATACGATACCGATAATCGGCAACAATTGCCGATATACCGATATCAATATCGGTATCGTACCGATATCAATATCGGTATCGTTCTACCACTACTTTCAGGGATTTTGCAATCCTATTAGTTTTCATGTCAGTTTTTTCCTTTTGTGGTGCCCATGAGTTATGTCAGGTGTTAATGAATATTTGTAAAGTTATGGAAGTTGATCACATCAAAAAGTGACAAGAGGGTTGACATTTTTATTTTTACTCCAAATATCATTTTGCATAGAAATACGAGACCTCTTACTAAAAAATCTAAAAGCCAGCCCATGTAATGTAGTTCAGTTGAAACTGGACTGTGGTACTAAGGGTCCATGGTTCGAATCTGGTGTCGGGCATGGATATTTGTAAATGTATAGTGCGTTGGGTTGGTAAAGCAGCCTTAGCTGAAACCCCGCCCATTCAAAGATAAAGGCAAAAATACAATAAAAAATTAATCCCATTTCCGGCTAAACCGTAAATGACAAAAATTTTTGCCTTATATCTAATTTCCAAATTTTACTTCTTTACCTTACAAGGTACAAAAATTATAGGAGCGAGCCACATTCTCTCAGTATATCAACATAATCCTTTTTATAGCAAATTATGTGACCATTTGATCCATTGTCACGGTTTCCAAAATTCACAGTTTACATGCAGATGGATTAAAAGGGAGAACATCATAATTTCTGAAATTTCCCGAAACAGACTTTATTCCACTAAAAACAAGTCTTGTGCTAGGAATCCCTAGCAGTACCGATATCTCGAACAGACAGACAGACTTTGTGTCTGCATTAGCCATGAAAAGTATGCTAATAAAACAGAAGCAGGAATGTTTTACTTCCACCTCTAATTAGTGACATAAAAGAGAAAAAATGCTCATTATTATTGTGTTAGAGTGGCATCAGTGGTGGATATAACAGAATGACAATTGGCACCTGATTTTAAAACTGTAGCCCATTCAATACAAAGGAACTTAGATGCAGTTTAAATTTTGATTGCCTCAATCTCATCAAATAATTAAGAGAAACTTGAAATACACAATCTCGACATGCACAATGAAGTACATACTTTTTCTTGCAAAAAACTACATGCATAAATAAATCCTAATAAATGTGAGTTTACTTGTGCATAGATTGATGCACTACATTAATTGTTAAGATGAGAACTAATGCAATACAAAATGATAGTAATAGAATAGCTATTCATAGATAGAGATTAAATTTCTATTGTTTAATTTAAATGAAAAACTAATTTCAGAAGTCGGAACTGATGTCATATTTAATCCCACGCGATGGTATTTCAAGCAATTACATTAATTTATTCGAAGTAGAATAATGGGAGGTTATGCTTGGAAAGTTTACACTCTTCAAATCTAATGCTTTGAAATACATCTACCGTGATTACCAAAGCATTAAATCTGTGCTAGTTATTTCTGCAAGATTAGTGAAGTGTTAGATAAAACACCAAGTCTACAATCTCGTAAATTCAAACCTGAACGAGAATAATATGGAGCGAGATGAATATGAAGATAACCTGGCCGAGCTATAAACAGGATATTCATTTACTTACTACGAATGTCAATTTTGAACATGAAAGTAAGCACTTACAAGGCCTTGTAGGTACGACAGTGTCATCCAGTTGACGAAGTTCCACTTCCAATTTATTAATCGTGTGATAATTATGTTGCATTAGCTTCATAATTTTTTTTATAAAACCGACATAATCTGCAAGTTTAAAGTAAAAGATACGACAATTTTGTCATCGTGAGATGCCTACCTCGAGGAAATTCCTGTGGGCTAACCAATTCTTTGAAAAATTCCTGAGCGACAGTCGTATGTTCCGTTGCATTGGGGATGTGGGTGTCGAGATGTGGTCTAAACCAGTATCGTAGTATTCGCGATTCTTGTGTATGTTTACCAGTTTGGGCGCTAACTAAAAATACTCGAAACTCCAGTGATAATTGTGCAGGAACGGTTTCACCATTTTCTGAAAAAACAAATTGTTGTTCATCTGAAGTAAAACAACGATAATGATACACTGAATAATAATATACAATAAAAATAAATAATGACATTCATAATTTTTCAAAGCTTTTTTAAAATTATGCTTTTCTAGTTATAATGTTCAGACCTAATAAGTGATAATGTGATATAACATCGAGATTTACACACATGTATAGAATATTATCGGATAATGTTGTATGATCGGTAATCATAATTCTTAAAATTTATGGATTTATCAACCATTTTTTGCACACTATTAAAAACCACAATTTATAAAGCATTTCAAAATGGGATGTGTCCCATTTATTTTGAAACTGTTGATTATTAGGTAAACTAGCGGGGATATCAAAAAATTATTTATATAGAATATTCTTCGTGTGGTGGGGCGCATTTAATGATACTATGCACATTTCCACAAACTGTCCTGTATAGGGCAACATAATTTTATACTTTTTATTGAATATTCTTATTCTACATCGGAAAATAATACACTTCCTAAAGAACAATTTTTGATACGATATAAATTAATTAACTGACATTCAAATACAAAAATACAAAACTGGTAGTCGCAAAGTTTACCGCAACTCACAAAAGAAATGACCCCTAGACCCCAATTCGTTTCGCTTATGCAGGTGCAGATAAACCCCCATAAATCATCCCCTGAAACTGACATCTTTTCTAGACAAAAATGCGTATTTCAAAAGTATCGTATATTCCATGTCTTTGTTATATTCGGACAAAAACGAAATTTACCCTTTATTAAATAATTCTAATTAGTTCGCGAGAATTTTTTTATGATTCAAACTGAACAATATCAACGTGTACCTCTAGAATTATTGTACTTGGTAAACGAATGATTGAAAGAGTAAAAATTTGCACTTGACGATAACATTGAGCTTTGAATAAAAAGGTACATTTTTAGTTTCCTGGCTTGAGCTTGGTGGCTATTGGGATCACAGTTTTAAACCATTTTATGCAAATTTTTAATAAGTATATTAGGCACACGGAAACGAAAAACAATGGGCTGGATTTTCGAAAAACATTTTTTGAGCGCCGCAACGGCAATTGCAAGCTACAATAAGTGTTTTATTACAAAACAACAGAAAAAATTTTGCGAATGTACCGGGTGACCAAATAAGAATGACAATCGGCCGTATCTCAGAAACTAGTAGACATAGAGCTTTCGAGTAAAAATTATGTAATAAAAGTGGTCAAAAGAAATTGCTGGAAATTATTTTCGAGTGTGTAAAATGACCACTAGGGGCCCAACAGTCATCATCAAATAGAAAATTTTAATTTTCTTCGAGGGCCGAAATTGAAATTGTCATCCACTGGGCAGACTTGCGAAGCGCATTGAAAATGATAGGCAGCATTTTGATCATCCAGGTCCATCATTAATCTTTAATTACCTACCTTTGATACCACTTTATTAGACAAAATTCGAAGAAAATTTAACTGTAAATAAATAAAATAAATTTTTGAATGTCGTATATTTTTACCCGGTCATAATTTTGGTTCGTGGAGGGATGATGTCCTGGAATTCAATGTGGTCAATATGGCAACCCTAATGAAAACCAAACTAAATACAACATCTAAATTTTAGTCTTCACAGACACACTGACTTCACACTGTCAAAATTTTCAAACCTTACTTTTTGTAGAACGCTACAAAGAATTAAGGCTTTTATTCCTGCAGAATTTCTGCCTTCCTGAAATTGTTTAAAAAAACCAGGAAAAAATATCGGTGCAAAAATTTATCCTACATGCCAATCACTATCTTGCCACTTCTAGGATAACTAGCATAAAATAAAAGATAAATCAAGATTTAATAAAAGAAGCAATGAAAATTGTCACTCGCTTGCAGATTACATTAAAAGCTTTAATTTCATTTGATTGTCTGTCTGGAAATGAAAAAAGTAAAATGCGCAAAATCATCCTTCTGTCATAACATCAATGCCAGATTAATCACTAGGCCAACGAGGCCGGCGCCTAGGGCCGCAAGCAAAAGGGGGCCGCAGTGTTTTGTACAATTTTTTTTTATTTTAATGCTAGAACGATAGCAAACATACCAAATTAAAATCTTTATAATATTGGTCATACACCCTCATTTATTAGGCTTGTGGCATAGCAAAAATCTAAGTCATATTTGTTCAGCAGCGTGAACAGACACGTGGTTCTCGGTCACCACTTCCCGAAAGGTCATATAGGTAACGGTCTATTTAGGTGTGCAAAGGAAAATAAGTTAAGGCGCGGTCTATAATACGCACATATGGTATTTACAATATGCGATATGCGTGTCTTAATCTCTGATTAAAATTTCAAAAAATATCTGTATAAATATGAAAGTTCACATTGCGCAGTCTACGTATGTGTACATCTGATTTTGACAATATGCGATATACACTGGAAGCATCTGTGGTTAACATTTCAAAACAAGTTATAAATCAGCATATGCATGATGAAAACGCATTTTTGGTACCTAATACAGATCAGTATTTTATTAGTAATTTTTATCGATCTCACGACTGATCTAACTCAAAATAGACTGTACATCTACACTATAGCAGATAGTGAAAATTTGAAGTCTCTAGCTATTGTAATTGCCGAGATCTCATCCGGACAGCCTGCCAACCAGCCATAACAAATAAAATAGCGTATTTTTTTTTCAAAAATGCGCTAAAAATATCTCTAATAGAGTTGCGCAATCTGCGCACGCGCACATTAATCGTCAAGAATTTTTTTGGTTGAGGTGCCGAATGCAAAAATAACGAACTACTATAAATATCTTGAAAATTGTAGGAGTAGCTCGAGGAATAGTTATGGCCTCGGTTATGGCGTTGGAAAATGCGCTAAAAAGTTGGCTTGCTTACAATTCTCTGGCGAACACTCCTAGGAAGTTCCACATAGGAGGGCGTGAACCGGTTGGGTTAATTTGGCCTAGGGCACCAAGTACCTACCCGAAATATGGCACTGCATAACATACATACCTCAAAATTTCTTCGCCAACCGAGCTTCAACAATCCATCAATTCATCAAACTTAGCAGAAAATGGAAAAGAGCATCACTCAACATCTGGTTCAACCATACTTGCCTCAAAGAAGAACTATTCCCAAGATATATCAACATAAAAACAAACAAGTTGTAAATCAGCATATGCATGATTAAAGCGCATTTTTGGTAATGCAGGTCAGTATTTTATTAGCGAAGTTTAAAATTATCAATCTCACGAGTAATTTTGGCTGCGTTAAATAATTAATTTAATTTAATTTCAATTGACGGTACGTCTTCATTTTGTAAAACAAATCACAAAGTAAATAATAAGTTTTTATACTGGTAGCGCTATCTAACGGTAAAATTATAGCACCTCCGAAACCCATATCGAAACTATTTTCTTCAATTATCGATCTCACAAGTAATCTAACTCAAAATAGACTAGTGCCTGCACATCTACACTATAGCAGAAAGCTTTTAGTGAAAATTTGAAGTCTCTAGCTATTGTAGTTGTGGAGATCTAACGCGGACAGCCGGCCTGCCAGCAATAACGAATATAATAGCGTATTTTTTTCAAAAATGCGCTAAAAACAACTCACCGAGAGTACAAGACGCTATACACTCAGGTTAATCCAACTTTCAACCTTTAATGTAAAAATTCAACCCTCCGGTTGGTTGTCTTAACAAGGCTTGATAATAATTCGTCTTGAAACTTAGGACAACCTTTCCGTTTTAACCACCCTTCAGGCTTTTTCACTTGGCTTCGGCCAGTTAATAATTAAAAAAACAACATGTTCGTCTTATTCGTCTTCAACGTTTGTAATTTACCGTTTTCCTGTTAACTTTCACATCGCCTGATGATGGCAGTACGCCGAAACTATAGTCGCTGTTATTTTTAAAAACTTCAACGAATAAAACTATATGGGGAAGGTTTAGAGATTTTTGATAACATAATATACATACCTATAATGTGCCAGATAAAAATATTATATTTTATTATAATAATCCTAATCCTCATTATTTGGAACCTCAACAAATTTCGTACAAACCAACAAAAGCGAGTTTCAAAGATAGATTAAAGCACATGTTAATCCAAAATTGTTACTATAATATATCTGATTTTCTGTATCAATAGCTAGGCTAGCTTTTTCCAATAGTTTAATCGACGTATCTCTTACTTTTGTTTTCGTGTATGAGATCAATAAACGTAAATAAATAAATAAATAAATATATGGCTAGTATTTATACGGTGGAACTATATGGATTGTGGCAAGCGTTACTATATATACGACACAATGTCATTAAAACAGCCTTGATATGCACAGACTCTTTAAGCATAGTGAGTTCATTAAATAAAAAAGTAACTTCGAACAACGCATTAGAGAATATAATATTAGCATTATTATATGATGTCTGCAATAAAAGTAATAAAACGGTAGTGATAATATGGGCACCTGGGCATGTAGGTATTGCCGGTAATGAAGAGGCCGACGAATTCGTACGAAACGGAAGCAACTTAACAAATGTAGATATGATACCCGTTCTATCTGAAGATTTTAAATATAGGATAAAGATTAATATCAATGACTTGTGGCAAACGAAATGGCATTCTGAAAATACCCAACTGAGGCACATTAAACCGTCCATTAAGCCATGGAAACCTAGATTACTTACAAGGCAACAATCTACAGCGCTAACGAGGGCAAGAATAGGCCATACTAACCTTACCCATCTCCATCTTCTAGGGAAGGTAGGAGTAAATGAGTGCGTGCGATGCGGAGTGAGTGTGTCGATTTATCATATATTGATTGAGTGCCGCCAGACCGAAAGGCTGAGAAGAGAGCTAAATCTACCTAATAACCTTAAAAGTATATTTGAAGATACAACTGATGCTGTCAATAGATTACTGTTATTTCTAAGTAGAACTGGTATTTTAAGGAAACTATAATTACTACAGAAAACAATAGCTAATAGCCAAAGCAGCTGATGCTAAATAAATAAATAAAAAAAAAAAAAAAATTATACTCTTTGAAATGTTAAATAAATAAAATATGTATGCTTCTGCTACTATAGTAGACTGACTGTGAAGTCCTGCACAAAATAGAAGAAACACTACACCATGATCTGCAAATGTGGGTCAATGAAACAGATACTACTTTTTCAAACAGCATTTACAATTCTCTCCTATTAGAATAGATCAAGCGTTAATAAATGTATATATTGTGGTCTATTAAAAGATTGTTATATTTTAGCTTTGATTAAGTTTACCTGATACTACTTATGCAAAATAAATTTCAAATTAATTCCTTACAATTATTGAATGTAACTATACCTGTAGCTGCTTGTTTGTTTACCACAATTCCTGTATGATCACCGCCTGCTATGTGTACCTTATCGTCGCTAACATTTTGTACAATCTTCCTTTCGATTATTAACGTTGTAGAATTGGCAGTTTTGCACTTTGGGGTCATAACAACTTGCTCCATTTTCGATGTTTCAGTCATTGTAACAAAATTCTGAAAGTGAAAGAGGTGTCGTATTAGTTGCCAATGGTACAACCTAGTACTGAATAATGATTTATCAAAATATCTCTCTGAAATAAACAACTGATGTTGTGAACTTCACAAAATTGCAAGATAAATAAATGATTTGCGAAATATCGTTTCTTAATGATGCCCTTTAAACAATGAACCTCTTCTTTATTAATAAATTATTACAGCAGAGGATGTTCCACTGAAAATTATAATAAATTGACTTAAATTGGAAAAGGTGTGTACAAATAATAAAATTATTGCTTATTCTACTATTGAAATTTAATTGTGATAATAATTATTAAAAAAGGGAGTGCCTCAATGGATGAAACAAATTTAGATTTTTTTAAAATAAATTATATATGCACTTACTTGGAAATAAACTTTTTTGAATTAATCACAGATCATGAGTCACTGTCAAATGCCAATGCTAAACAAGTTAAAAAGTTAACCTCTCATTCTCACTCGATTCACTCGCCCCAAACGTCAGTTACAATTTCCCTTTCCTTATTATCTCGTACAACTGGTTCTGGTGTTGATTGTTTACTGTTTGTAACCAATAAAGCAGAGCATAAAATGATTTTTCTTATTATATGAATCTATTTTATTATTTTTATAATTTCCTAGGGTTCAAATTAAACAGGGGTAATAATCTCCCTGATATAGGGTAGGTTTTCGTATGGGTGGTCAGTTTTCATACAGACAGTTTAACCCCAAGCGAGTTTTCAGTGGTCAGTTTTGTTTGTATCGTCGGGAACAGGGCGTTTAATGGCACATTAACCCATTAACATAGTGAATGACTAGCATACTAAAAGAAATGGCAATAATCTTCCATATTACGTCAGAACAGTTTGTTTTATTTCCAAAGTACATACTGTTCTGAACAATAAATCCATGAAATAATTCATCAATAAATCCATGGGCAAATTCATGAATTAGTCGATAGATGTAATGTGGACTTTAGAAAAATGTTTAATGGTATGCAACTCATCAAACATTACTACATACAGGGCTTTATTTCAAAACAAACCACCGATTGTAATAAAAACCTTAGTTTAAACCAGAGACACTCTCTCCATGTCTCTGGTTTAAACCCACTTTCAAATTGTAATATGTACCCCATAAAATAGGTACCTACACCGGAATATACCAAGTATAAAATATAAAGATTAAAGTAAGATATTGAAATTCCAAACTTAGGATTTTACTTTTCAAATATAGCGCGCCGCTGCATGTCCCCTCATAAACACATCAAAGTGGCACCAGTTGGATGACCATTCTATAGCAACCCCTCTGCGAAGCATTTACAAGGGTATCGATTGGACTACTGCCCAACAGCTACAGTATAATGTGAAGGAGCCCCATCTTGCCGAAAGTGCACATTTTTCTCGTCTATAGAGCAGTGTTAAAAACAAATTGTGCACAACTCTTGTGCAGATAAAGCGCATTTTTTTTGTGTAACACTTTTGTATCCCGTTTTACACTTTGGCACAATATACGGTTTCCTAATTTTTCTCAAAGCAGCGGTTTTTTTTTGCGTAGCCGTAGAGGTTCAAGGCGGCGCGGCGGTAAACACGTCAGCCATTACAGTTGTTAAACCTTATACCTCGATTCATCCTTCGGCCGTGACGACTTTATGGTACCCAGTGGCGGATTTATACTTTTGCCGCCCAGGGGCTTTGGGAAACTTGCCGCCCCTAGATCATTCTTACGACAAAAATAGCCCACAACTTCATAAATCCTATGGCTAAAAAATAAAATTTATTTATTTATTTTGCCTTTATTTTTAAGTGGGCGGGGTTTCAGCCGAGGCTGCTCTACCAACCCACTATACATTTACAAATATCCATGACCGAACCCGGATTCGAACCAGGGACCCTGTACCGTAGTCGAGCTTCCACTGAACTGCGCTACACGGGCCGGCTATCGCAATCTAAGGGAGTTTATTGGTTCGTGGACTATTCGATTACAGAACAAAATGCTTATAAGTAATAAGTATTTTTATTTGATTATTCAACAATTTATTGGATTAATCAAAACAATTTTCTCCGTGAACTTTCTTCAGAAAATGAACGTATCACATCATCGAAATCTAATTTTCTGGTTATTTCAGATTCGATCGTTAGGATTGCCAGTTAATTTGCCGCCCTGGGCCCGTGCCCTTAGTGCCCCCCTCTAATGGTACCATTGAATTTATAAATTCAATGATGGTACTACGCGATCGTCGACGCGTAAAAGGTTCGAGTTTCCAGACCTGTATATACGACCGTACTTTAGACACACAAAATTGTAATGTATTGGTATACATAACCCTACATCTATTTACATAATTTAATAATTTTCAGTTGAATTATGAGTAAATATGCCAGAAAAGTTCCAAGTTATAGATCTCCACAAAGAAGGTCGCGCTCGCCGGATCGCTACGATTCTTCTTATAAACGAAGAAAACGTAGCCCATCCTACAGAGACAAGCACAAAGAGACTGAAAGTAAAAGTGACCGATGGCCAAATAGTGAACACAATTCGTATTTGCATCATAAACATCGCAGCAATTTGAAGAGATTAACCCAAGAGGAAGAAATACTGGAAGCACGTCGACAAGAAAGAGAAATGCTCGGTATGAGATTGTGTCCAAACATTTGGGGCAAATCACCAACTCCAGAAGAGTAAAGGCTCAGGAATTGTATTATTGTACATCTTACTTTGTTTATTTGTAGATCTTCCGCTTCTGATTCGGATGATAAGAAAAGTGTAGAGGAGTCCGAAAAAAAAGAACACAAAAAAAGAAAAAAGGAAAAGAAGCACAAAAGGTCTAAAAGTAAGAAATCGAAGAAAGAGAAGAAGAGAAAGAAAAAAAGAAAATCCAAAAGTGATGATAGTTCTATGGAGGAGTGGGTTGAAAAAGAAGGTGAGTTATTCGTATCTTGGATACCTTCTTTCTGATACAATTCAGTTACAGATAAAGACAAGTCATTGACTGTTGATGCGCAAACTGACGTGGATGGAGCTATCGGGCCCCAATTAAAAACCCACGCCACTTTAACACATAAGGAAATGGGTAAAGCTCTGCTACCTGGGGAGGGTGCTGCTATGGCAGCGTACGTGGCCGAAGGTAAACGTATTCCACGTAGAGGTGAAATTGGGTTAACCTCGGATCAAATTGCAACGTTTGAGTCGGTGGGTTATGTAATGTCGGGCAGTCGTCATAGGAGAATGGAAGCAGTTCGTATCCGAAAAGAAAATCAAATTTATTCGGCAGACGAGAAGAGAGCATTAGCTATGTTCAGCAAGGAGGAGAGGCAGAAACGTGAAAATCTAATTTTAGGACAATTTCGAGAGATGGTTAATGCAAAGCTGAGCGATAAAAAAAAATAGTGTAGATATTTATTTTCTTCTTTAAAATATAGTGCAAATATGTATAAGTATCTTATCTATACAATCTTAGTCGACTGTAAATCATATTAACTGAATGAACGCTGTTACATTTAAAAAGTCCTTTTTATTGAGAGTTATAGGTATATCATAATATATTATAGTATTAATTCTTCTTAATGTTTTCTTCCCAATCTAACCAACCCCCTGTATAATTACTCACACTAAAAAGTTTTAAAAAATATACTATACTGTAAAGAATTGATACATACTTTTTGTACCCTAAGCTGATTGCAGTCTTGGCGGCTGTTTCACTTCTTTTACCAGACCGGCAAGAAAAGACTAAAGGTGTTTCCAATGCAGGTTTATTATGACCATACTTTGTGCGGAATTCATTATTTTCCATACTTTTCAGTGCATTTTCTACTTCGCCCACTAGAACCCAAGTATTATACTTACCTTTTCTGTTTAATTTGAAGGTAAACTTACATGGAATATTGATACTTGCAGGTAAAACGCCAGTTTCTTTAAGTTCTTCAGGTTCTCGGACATCCACCAGTAATGTGGAACGATTATCCTTTAGTGATCGTACAGTGTTAAAGTCTACAGGCTTGATGGTCATATGAGTACACATTTTTTGAAGACCAAGAAATTTGCTTGGGAAGAATTCCTTATTTGAATGTAGTAAAATACTACCTGTAGGTATGAGAAAAGTTCAGTGAAGTAGAACCTATCTACCAGAGGCTAAAAACTAAGGAGAAGAGACGTACGTGTTTGTTCTTTTTGAATGGCATGGACTTTGGTTCTTGTGATAACTTGTAGCTGTCTGACTTTTTTGAATAATCCATAATTTAACCTAAAACTGGTTAAGCTTGACATTCGTAACTGTGAAAGCATAGTGTTTGTTTGTTAATCTAACCAGAATACTAAACTGATTAGTCCAAGTGAAACTGTTGCAGACAGAAGACAAATAAAAAGCTAATAAATTTCTTTATTTTTATTTGAGTTCAAGGTTCAAAATCAAAATGACCCACAAAGTCAAATGTCAGGTACACAGTACGTCCGTTGTGCACGATTTGGCAACGCTGCTTTGAGCATACTTTGCCTTTGATCCCAAACCATATATATATAATATACAGGGTGTTCATTTGAAAACTTCCCACCACGAATCGAAAATCACTGATTAAAGGAAAAACGCCGAGACATGCCAAAAGATTTATCAAGAGGGACAACTTTTTAACAAAAAATACCTTACCCCCTTTCACCCTCTCCCCCCCCCCCCAAACATACTATATTGTCGGTCTCACCTTGACTTTACATAGGGCAATCCCCCCCATCCTTCATGGGAGCTTCGGGACGTGCTGAATGTTTTGCAGGAGTCATCCCCTTCTAACCTCAATCACGCTGAGAGCACGGTAAGGGAGGCTCTAAAAGTTTCGGCTGACCTAAACATTACCTTCTTCTGACCACCCGAGATGAAAAATGTGGTCATGTTGCAAGACCCGAAAAAATCATTAGGAGTGCAGACGGTATCAGCTATCGTCGACGTATCGTATAAATATTCGAATATTCAATCCGATCCGATGTGCATAAGGAGTTATTCCACTGCGTGGAAGAAGGCTATCGTCATTATGATTCAGAAGCATGGAAATGAGATTTCAAATCCTAGGAACTACCGCCCGATATTGCTGCTCCCGGTCGGCGGTCCTTTACTTCTAATTAGCGGGCTCAGGGAATGCAATCCCGTAGCGGCCGTAGCAGAATTTCGATTCCGGTATTTGCGGGATCGTTAGATGCGTATACATTATCCGAACCGAACATTTACTGTAATGATCTGTTCGTGGCTCGTTCACTTTTGACAGAACCTGCTCATTTCGTGCTCGGGGTACGGGTACCGTCCTAACTATACGAATTTGTTACATTATTACAATGATTTTGGGTTACATTACATATGTTCCGTTCGGATAATGTATACGCAGCTTTAGGTATTTATTTATTTATTTATTAGGCGCTTTCTTTCGGGTACTTCGCGATCATGATTTCAAGATCGTGATTCGTAGGATCATTGAATTTATGATAGTTATAAATTCAATGGTAGGATCACGTTTTACGAAAGAACGCGCGAATTTAAATCGAAGTATGTGGTTTGGTTAGTTATATAAAACCAATGTTTAAACGATATAAATATAATTTATTTAGAACACTATCTCATTAAATATTTTCTGACAGCTCACTCTAGTCACATTGTTATTTCGTTTCCCGGATGACCTCTAATTTGGAGCCCTACCATCTCCCCCTTTCAATGACCGAAGGAAAATCCGGTTTCATCTTGTTTCTTTCCCTGAAGGCCATTTAAGAATATAGGATCTTTCTGTTGGACCTTGGCAAACAACTGTAGCTTTTTTAATCCAGCGTTTGGTAATATGGTCTTGGACACGAACACGGAACAGTATCGCCTGAGCTGAGCGAGGAGGTAAAAGGACGAGCAAATCGGTTGTAAGCATGTTTTGCATAGTTTCTATACGATTTAAGGGCTTCGAGAGCTTTTCCCGGCTCAAATAGTTGTTTAAATTAGCAATCACGATCATAAGATCACACTTCGAAAGAACGTGATTTGACAATCCTAGCGCGTTTGGATCATCGAAAAAAAAGATAGCATCATGGTTTTATACTAGAAGGAAATAGTATATTACATAACGAGTGTTGAAAGCGATACTTTTCTCACGAGATGTGAAGTTTGCCATACGAGGCGAAGCCGAGTGTGGCAATCACACGAGTGTGAAAAGTGACTTTCAAACGAGTCATGTACACTATTTTTCCTACGACTCTCCATACAACCAAAAATCTACTTACATAATGAAATTCAATTTCTCTTTAACGAACTATTGTTATAATTACTTTAGCAAAGAGGCTTTTCATACCTCAGCCGCAATTTAGTTGGTAGTAATTCGAGTGTAGTGGATTTTGCCTCTTCCCTGATGTTGGATGGAGTACACTCTACATCCATGGAAGAATCACTTTCCGCCATTAAAATTAAGTAAGGAATTAAACGCGTAGCATAAGGGACTAAACTCAAGAATAAACTAATCGCAATTTTAGAGTTTGACATACGCCTACTACGTTGATGTTACAAGAAGATTGGACTACCTACTACGAAAGCAAAACGCAAAATGCGATTTGCTTTCTAATATATGGTAGATCTTAGTCCATATTCATAAAGTAAAGCAATTGCTTTTACTTCCAAAAAGTGAAGCAATTACTTCACGTTCTATTCATTAAAAAAAGTAAAGTAAAGGGTTGGGCGTTGAAGTAAAAGGTTTTGGTCTAAAGTAAAGTTTTTGCTTTTTTGATATCCATAAAAGGAAGGAAATGCTTTCACATCCATCCATCCATGGAAGGACTGAAGGATTTGCTTCAAGAAAAATGCATCTAGTCCAGATTAGCTTTTGCCATAAGAGGTGCAGTCGTTTGATCGGCGTTTAAGGTGTTTGCGTGAAATTTTGTGATTTTTTCGGTAGCTATATGTGAGTGTAGTGTTTGTCTGTTATGGCTGACGTAGTCCAGCTTCGTGCCAGAAAACATTATAAGCCAAGGAGGACGCCACGACAATCTGACTTTAAAACGTTATTCCGGTTTGAAGAGGTTAGCGTTGAGTGGTTGGCGGAGCATTTTCTTGGAGAGAATAATGAAACTCGTGGAGGCGCACTATCACCCGTGCAAAAAATTAAAATCTTTCTTCGTTATATGGCTGATCCCGGGTTCCAGAGCGGTATTGGAGAAGAACTGGGATGCTCGCAGCCAACGGTATCCAGAATTATTAATACCACCCTCGAATGTATAATGGAAAAAGCCAACGAATGGATACAGTTTCCCTCTACAGAAAACAGAATCATGCAGGCAAAAGAAAACTGGCTAAGAAAATTTCATTTTCCAACTACAATTGGTGTAAAGACTGCACCCATGTTCAAATTGAGAAGCCGACCACATTTAGAGATGAATATGTCAATCGGAAAGGATATACTAGCATCAATGTACAGGCCACATGTGACTGCAATACAACTCTCAGTCTACCTTTTGCTTCTATTATTTGGAAGGATTTGCTTGGTAGGAAAAGGCACAGCTTATAAATACGAAATGAAGCAAAACCTTTTACTTCTACCTTTTACTTCCGAGCGCTACCTTTTACTTTAAAGCAAATGCTTCACTTTTATAAATATAGACTATATGAGAAAGCAAATCACACGGGTGCGTTTTGTTTTCCGTTACATTTTACCATAAGTGAGCGAAATTGTCAATTTTCAAGTAAACATAATTGTACGACATATGTCATTTTCAATGAAAGTCGTAGGAAAAAGTGGTTTTCGATTTCCCATGTAAACAAAAATTCCAAAGGCGACTCGACAGCAACTCATTTTTGATCGCATTGTATATCTACGACATACCCAAACTTTTTAGTTATATCAGTTGGTCATTGTGAATATGTTATGTTGGTCACAATGATTTAACGTTGGGGTACTATTTACTCTTTTTATGTAAAATGTCGCCTCAAAATTATCGTTAAACAGTAAACCCCAACCTTTTATATCATTTTAATAGAAAAAACTTTACCCAAATCTTTATAACAAGTTAATCGCTCCACAATGTTAACAAGAAAAGTGAGAAACACTGTTTTAAATTCAAATTCTAACCTAAAAAACACATTAATTACATATAATAATAGACACTGTATTTTCAGATGTAATTTTTCAATATGTTGTATAAAAAACTTTTCTAGTGTTCAAAAAACAATGAGAATCAACGTTATCACACTACGTTCTTTACAAAAAAGTCTTCAAGCTGTACCACGCACCTTGAAGGATCAATCTGAAGGAGTGTTAAAGGTTTGGGCTCATCAGTGCGAATGTGTTCTGGCACAGCGTCTCAGAAGAGGACAACAAATGTTCTCGTTATACACAAAACTTTGGGAAGAGCACGCATTAAAGGAATTTTTAAATAAGATGCGAAAACATGTAACAAAATGTGGCAAGGAGTTACTCGCGAGTGCAGTTGGTCTCACGTGTTACAGTTGGGAATCGAATCGTATTACAAATAAGGATATGGGTAAATATTTAAACGAATTGGATTACATACATATATTGGCAGAAAAAACAATGACGTGCGAACATTGCCTCAATAATGGTCAAACTATTGCCTGTAAATGTCCAAATCAGTCTGCGAGCAAAATAAAATACGATAAATGGGTACGTTTCTTTGAAAAAGAAGATATGGTGGTGTGGCGTAAGGAATGCGATGATAGTGGCAATTACGAGTATAAAGTGTATGGCTCGTTCGATGATGTTTCAGGAGAAGATTTTTTAAACGTTCAAATTGATACAGAGTATCGTAAACGTTGGGATAATACCGCAGTTGTTTTAGAAGTAGTTGAAAAAGATCCAACACCACTTTCGAATAGCGATGTTATCTATTGGGAGTTACTTTGGCCTGTGAGTATTGAAGGTGATATGAAGCTGTTACAGCTTTCTTGTTACAGAAATTATTCGTCAACCGAGATTATGTTTTTAATCGGCGATTTATGATCGATAAAGATAGTAAAACAATTGTGCTTGTAAGTCGCGGCACTGAGCATCCTGCATGTCCGATCAAACCAGATAAATATAGAGTGGACACTTATTGGTCTTACATGGTAATTAAACCGTTCACGGAACTAGATAAGCCAGGTGTTGAATTTAGCTTGACGTATTTTGATGATCCAGGTGTAAATGTTCCTTCAACAGTTACTACATGGGTTGCCATGCGTGCAATGCCCGATTATTTAACACGTCTTAGAGTAGCAACTAGGGAATATAACAACTATTGCGCACAACATTCAACTGACTATATATGCAAACTATCCGAATACCAAGAATACAAAAGAACTGAAGTGCCTGTGCCCGATCCCTCACTTTTGATGTCTGTCAATAAACAAGAAATGAAAACACAATCCGCTTTTGTAACATCCATTGAAAATGCCATCAGATCTTGCGTTATACACACTAAGGGACTTCACATGACTGATGATAGCAATAATAATACTGCCACAAGAAATGCAGATACAAAACCCAATGTAAATTCTCCAGCTGCCGAAATTTTAATTAGTCCATCTGCATCTTCACAAGCAGAGTCACCTACGTCCACAACAGAATCTTGGAAATACTTACACAAAAATTACTACTTCACCTGATACTTGTTAACTTGTTTATAATATACTACTTATGTATTATAAAGGTTTTGGTAGCTTTATAATAATACGATTGAACAAAATGTTTGTTTTAATTATTTATGGCACATAATAACATATGTTAAAAAATTTGGTGGTGGTATTTTGAAACGCCCTGCAATTATTTGATAATATTTGCAGTTTAATAAAAAAGTAAAGTCAATTTTTTTGCCAATAAAACCCTTTTGTGAAATACAAAAAGGCTTTATTCGTATGAAAAGCTCCAGGAAAGAGCATGAGCTGGAAGCCTTTGAATCAAGTTCCTTAAGGATTGAGTTTTCGAAGTCATTGTACAGCTTGATTGTTTTTAGCAGTCGGTCAAGTACCTATAGGCAATCAAATTAGCGCGAGTAATTGTACATATAAAGAACATGAATAAGTTAACAAAAGAAGCAAGTTGCCCCAATTTATAGGCAGCTATACCTACCAATTAAAATACATATTTATCGATTTACAAATTGGTTCAATTCTTCTGTTGTGAAATGGAATTAATGACGATATGTTTCATATAAAAGTAAAATTAATGAGATCAACATCTTATTTTAAGAAGGCTTGGCATGTAATATAAAAATATCGATTAATTTGGCAGACCTCCACACAGATATTTTCTTGGCACACAAGGTGTACAACAGGGTGTTCTGGGTGAGTTGATCCATGCAATAGCGACTATCACAGATTTGATATTGCTGCTAGCAGAAACATGGGGCTAAAATTCAATATGGCTGCTATTGCTATAAGAAATAAAAAAGTTGTCTAATGTAACTTCCAATTCTAGAGTGGTTAGAATTTTTCGATAACTTATTCGGATCCTCATAAAAACGTGCTTTAATAATGTTTTAGTTTAACACGTTCACTTTTTGTCGTTTTCGTAATAAAAGGGAAAATCTAAAATTGAAAATTTCGTTTTTTTTTTCAAAAATCTCGGCAGCCTCTTGAAGACATCCAAATTTTGGTAATGGCATATTATTGGGCACCAAAATACGCAAATTTGCCCCAATTTAAACTACATTACATCGCTTATTCAAATAACCGAGATCCCCATGTTGGAGCTTGAAAAATGGGCACCATGTATATACTTCATATACAAAGAATATTCAGAATAAACTGAGAATATTCTGTAAGTTTATTCTTAAAATATCCTAAGTGGTATATATGCGTCATGTTCTAAGAATATTCAAAATAAATGGAGAAGATTCCTTTAAGTTTGTTCTCAGAATAGCTTAGATATGCCCATTCGCATATTCCTAGTTTATGTTAAAAGCAGCATAACGCATTTTTTAAAATGTAAATTCCAAACATTTACCAGAGCTGGGACGAATCCCCCAAAAAATAATTCGAATCACGGATCCGAATCATCAATAATGGATTCGAATCCCGGATACTTTGATACGGATCCTTTACCGCTTGAGACATGATTTGAATCCTAGTATTCGAATCATTTTTCGGATCACGGATCACAGATTAACAAAAAAATAAAATCACAGAATTTTAAAGAGTATTTGGAGTTTACCTCTCTTAGAATCCTACAAAACTAAGACGGGTAGTTATAAAAATCATCACTGGGGTCATGCTATCTCTAGGTTCTAAATTCCGAAGTGTTTTGTTCTTACATATACTCTGCAAGTCTGTAACTCTGTAGGTACTATAATTATTAAGTATCATAAAGTAAAGTCTGAGAATATTAAGTAAAAACAAGAATAATGAATATGAAGTTTATTTAACTTTAAAATAGGTAACCAAATAAGCATTATGCTAAGCTAAAAATAAAATGAACAAAAAAATATTTATTTGTTGTTTGCCTTAGACAAAACTAATATTTCGAAATTCTCGGTGAGACACTGGATGTATACACTGAGGATTCGAATACGAATCCTTTCTGATAAATGCAACGAATCCGAATCACGGATCCTTTTATTTTAAAGTATTCGGATCCCACTTCCGAATCACCGAAAATGATTCGAATCCAGGATTCGATTCCTAAGTGATTCGAATCTTCCCCAGCTCTGACATTTACATACCGTTCCAAGCAAGAGAAATTTTGGTAAATTATTTACTTCATTGGTTACACTTTCAAAGCAACTTATGAAACATGTCGGTGACGTCATCATGTTTGTATTGATTTAACTACTTTTGTAGGTCGTCCCATTTTTCATAGAGAATTACCACATGTACTATACCTTAAGTGTAAAGCTCTATGACTATACCTTGGTGGCAACTTGCTATACAAGTATACAACATATTTCAAAGAATCAATAACATAACTTTCTGTGATCCTGGACTGCTACAAATTTGTTAGTAGAGCGTTCCAGATACCACTATAAAATTAAGACTCGACACTCCAAATACTTCAGTTACATAAAAGATAATGTGGTATTATAGTACCAAATGATACTAATAGAGACAATGACATTATTTAATGTTAATAAAGATAATAGACAATAACAAATTAATGATACCATTATAATTCTTAGTCAAAATAATTTCGTACTTCACAATTTACTCTTTGGTTCAGTCCTATGGCAGATAAAAAAAATTAGAATGTAGTGTAGGAAAACGCAGACTTACTTGCAAACGTTAATAATTCGATCAGCCTCCCTGAAACCACTACTAATAGCCCCATGAACTGTTGAATATTGATGAGAACTGGTCGCTTCCCCCGCGAACATCAACAATGATTTATTGTTTAAGTGAATAGGTTCTGCTAAGTCACTTGCGAACACATTCATGTCATCAGAAATTAAACTTCTGTAAGAATAAGAACCTCGTGTGTATGGATCAGAGTACCACTTAGAGCTGCAATACTAAACATGATCATTTCTTCATAATTAATGTAATACTACATGCCATATGACTGAAATTGGATTTGGTAGATCTGGATATCTTGACCCAATAAAATATTTCAACACGAACATTAATCCTGCAATTATTTTATCATCGGATAATTTTTCGATTTCTTCTAGTGAGCTACCCACTAACCAAACCAACAAAATATTTGTGTGACTATCAATTGGGTAAAAACCCATAACACTCTCAAGCCATGACTTTCTGCTCTATTATATACATAAGATTATTAATGGAACAAATTACTAAAGATGAACAAACCTGTAACATTGTAGATGGGAATTCTCGCAAGACATTGTCACGATCTTTTTCAGACCAGACTATACTAACCCCTTTTTCATCTCTTTGCCACCACTGAAAGGGAAACTTGATTAATATCTTATTAACAGTGCCAAAACCCAATCCATTAATAGCGTTCACTTTATGTGATGGCAATTGAGGCTCGAATAAACTGTTATGGATTTCCTTTAATACACCTAACGGTAAAGTAACCAGAACATATCTCGCACTATACTTTGTACCATCACTACAGATCACAGTAACTCCATCAGATTTGTCTGTTATTATCTTACTGACTATTTTATTTAAAAGTATTTTTTGGCTAATAGGTAATTTCTTTCGAGGATCTGGGAATTCTCGCTGCAAATCTTTGTTTTCATATGTATTCTTTGATGCACATATCTTTTACCATTAAAATCTCTAAGATTGTTTTATATCCACGATTTCTCCATTGATGATAATAATTGCCATCGCAGACTTCATAATGCACTAATCCCTTAGCAGACAAAGTGTACCAAGTTGGACACGCATTAAGACACTTAACAAACTTGTGAAACCAATCCATGAGTGCAGTCGTTACTTGTGGACTAAGCTTGTTTTCAAAGTCAGTTTTCATTTCAGCCAAAAATCTACCAACACATGGATTTACTTTAACTCAAATGACATACCTACTACTAATAGCAATGTTAATTCACCTTTTTTCAAAGTAGTCCCCAAAATTCTCTGTGCTGTTTTGAAGTGCTTCTGTATCATCCATAATAGTGACAGCTATCGGAATAAGTTGGTTCACAACATCCTTATCAAGGTTTAATGTTGGAGAATAAACGTTAAAAGAATTGTACTCGTTTTTTGAATGACTCAATACATCTAAGTCTTTCGCTAATGTATAGACAATATTATTTTCTTCTCCATGACACCATTGCGCCCCAAAATCAAGTGCACTTCCGTCCACCTCTATGGTATGAATTCTTCCTCCTATTCTATCTCTTGCCTCCAATATTAATATATTTTGGATATTGTTCTCTAATAATCTGCTGCTGGCAGCTATTCCGGCAGCACCAGCACCAATAATAATAGTATGCAAATTGTTCATACCTTGAACAATATGAAAATTATTTATTTTGATTACTGCATAAAGTGAGCAATTACAGCCAACAATATATAACTGGGACAAGACTGTTCAAAAGCATTGCAAATACAAATCTTCGCTCATCCATGTCTTTGCAACTACTTATGCAGTAAGCACTTTTAAGCAACTTGTAACTTACATACCTATATCTGCCTACCTATAATGTTCGGGTTATACAAGACAAAATCAAGTCCAGTATACTATGGATTCGCTGCAGCTTATTCGTATATATAAGTACGCATAATTTTACTATCTTTCAATGATAAAAATTTTGGTTTAAGTATTTGAGTACACTTAAAAAATTGGGTTATGTTAAGTTATCTTGTCACGTGTCTTGACTTGTCATTGTAAAAGAACTACAGTTCTCGTTTAGCAGAACTACAATCGGTCAGAACTACTTCCTTACTGTCGTACTTCAATTGGTTTGGGTAGACAACACACAATACACTTTGAATTTATTTTTTATTAGAACAAGAGACTTGAGTAACAAGTCTCTGGTTAGAACCCGAGCACACAACAAAATAAGTTCGGGAAAGTAATTTTATTCAAGAATTTTCTAAATAAAATACTCATTGGTAGCGGGAAAGAGTAATTACAGTAAAATTCACAAAAGGTGAGCCATAATGCGTCACTAGTTTGTGAACAAATTTCAGATTGTTACCATCTCTTTCTCGCTCATGTGTACACAAGTGATACAGAACAAAGAACTCGTCTCAAATTGGTTCATGAACTAGTTACACAGGGCTCATCTTTTATTAATTCAACTGTAATAAGTAGCGGCAAAACCGGGTTTTTGAGTATTTTTTGAAATGCTTTAGCAAATGAAGACAGAGCTAAATTTCTTTGAGATACCTTTTGATAGCCAGAACTCCACTTCCATATCCATTCCTATGCTTCGAGTAAAGCGTTTGATATATTTAGATAGCCATAAATTGAAAAAATAAACAAAAGGAGTATTGAAATAGTTTATAAAATCTATAATCCTTTCTCATTTATTCGTATCTCCACCTACGCTAGTTTGCGAGATCCCCATGCCAAATATCGAAAAAAGAAGTGCCGCTTTGTATCTATGTATCAGGAACTTGTTCCTCGTATCAATCCATGTTCTTTGCAGGTACAATAAATTGCCAATTATTATTTAACTAGAGTTAAAAATACGATCCATTAAATTAAGTTTTAAATTAATCTGGAATAAAGCAAGTATCTTTTTCTAGAGGCTCCATCTGTGTGTGAATTGGCTTGCTAGAATAGTATAGGTGTAGCTACAAACAAAAATCATTTCCCTTGGATATATGAAGCTTTATATGTAAAATGCGTTTCAATATTTTCCTAAAAACATTTAAAAACAAAATTCGATTCATAAAATGAGTGGGTGGCTTGAGAATGTACGTATAATTTCCGATATAATGCTTGTCTTGTAAAACGTAAAGTTGAAAATCAATATCTAACTAATGTACGTACTATCTGCTGTTGCTGGTTGCATCAAATGTGTTCAATGTTTTACAGTATCTTTATTTAACATGCACGAAATGAAAACTATGTTTAAATGCTGTTAGTAGAATTAAGGATCCGAAGGACGCATGTTAGTATAAATTCAATGGTAGAACATTTTACTCTACAGCTACACTCTACAAAATATTTCTGTTGCGCCGGTGCTGCAATACCTATATCCTAGCATTGTCAAAAAAGTATAGAAATAGATGAATGTTCATTGTGTAAAAAAGTAGATATTTAGTTCGTCAGTAGCAACGTGCTGATTTATTGTATTTTAAGCATAGTTTTGCTAGCAAACATGAGTGTTTAGTTTCACAATAAAGTAATGACTTCGTGATTTCGGCATTTATAGGTTCGCATTAGGTACCTACCTATTGGCATAGTGTAAGAATCACTGCTATTGGTTATTGCTGCATCTGTAAGATACTCACCACGTGTATTTCTACCACCATATCGTTGTATTTTGAACAAACGGATGTGACTTATCAGAAAAAGCAGTGATGTATCGCGTTTGTTCAATTTTTGAAATTAACACAGAACTACAGAAGTTTTTTCTTCTGTGTACCTACCTATACATATAGAGAGGGAGTTTGTATTCTATAAGCATTCTACCGGATACTCCGAATTGAATTAGGTTTTCTTGCAGTTTTCCTAGTGCGTTTGGTACATACCGGAGTAGTATAAAACAACTTAAGACCTTCTGCAGAGGCACCTCTAAAAATCATTATGCGGGTCACTCTGTAATTGGGGGAAAGTCTGTTCAGGGCCCAGAACAAGAGAGGTATAATAAATAAATAAATCTGCAGTATACTACTAAATTAATGAAATGTCAGTGTAATAATAAGTCTCAAGTCTAATTTGTAGGGGCCTATTCTATAACGCGTAACGATGTCGTGTCGTGTCGATGTCGTATGTCAATTTTCGTATTTATAGAGTTTTTTTAATTTTAACCACAGAAAGGCAAACATTAGATGCGCAAACTTGCGGACTTTTTATTAATCGAACCCAAACAGGCATTTCGAGTAGTTCGACAGTAGTTGCAAGAAAAAAACGACTCTCTCTTCTGCACCTGAAGCCTCTACTTATTTATCAAATTAATGAGTCGTGGAACGATATACTGTGTTTCCTTCGAAAAAAAACCCTCTGCGTATCTTGAAATTAATTAGCTTTACGCGGCGATAACGAACTCCTATTTTTATTTAAACAACATTAAACGTAAAATTATTCTGAAACAAAATAAAATTGACCTCGAATTCAAAGAATATCCTCGAATTGATCAATCTCCACCTCATTTACGACCACATCTAAACTTCAAGAAACATTGAAAATCACACCGGAAAGAGTGCCCCTTCATTATTGCAGGTGCATCCTGTGTTCCAAATGGAAGTTTACAAAATAGTCCCAATGTACCTATTATTTTGCGCAACAAAGTATACTTTTTGCGAGATTATAGTTTTAATTCATATTTTCGAATGTTGGGAATAATTTAAGACTGAAAAACACTTAAATTAAATTCCTTTGTTGTTAATGTTATGCCCTTTCTAATGCATCGAAAAGAAGGTTTTGCGCTATCGTCGTTATACTGTATTTCATATTAAAGTTAGAAGAGCAACTTCCAATCGGCAAATCGGCATGCACAATTTACTAACATCTATGAATATGTTGCTATTTTGGAAGATGTTTATATTTCATATACAACAGTACATACGAAAAACAAGATATGGACAAAAACTGTTGGCCAATATACGTTCAAAAGTCGACTAGCGACTCTATAATCTATTACATTCTGTCAAAAGTCCTACAAATAATAAGGTTTGAAGGAATGAGCCAAATCGATACTATGATGAATTACAATAGGCCTTCGTTATAAATTTCTCGGATCACCGCACCCCATTGTGGAAAACTGTGCCAGTTTTTCAGATTAATTAAACTTTCATGTTCATATAGGTTTAGGATTTCACGAAAATTATGATACAGACGATTAAAGTTTTTTTTTAGCGCGGATAGTCCCTGATTAAATTAATTTTCTATACCTCCTACAGTTGTGTTCAATAACGTATGTGATTTTTAATCTAAAGTTGAAATCTTTATGTTGCAGCCGTAGCCGGAAAAAAAAACTTTCATATTCTCACACTATTTGATATTTGCATCAATGCAATGATAAATTATGCTGCCATATGGTCTACGTTAGGTATAGTAGGAGAGCTGGCAGACATTTTTGGGTAAGTAGGTATTTGCGGCACGCTGAAAACTTGTCCAATACTTCTCCAATAATACCCAAATACAGAATTGCAGACTTGGCTGAAGAATAGCGGGGCTAAGTCAACCCTTGTATTAAAATTACGATTTTTTTTTCAAAAAATGTCCTTGAGGCATTTCGAAATTTTTATTACCTTTCAATTTGATATTTAAAGAATGACAAAATCAATAAGCCAGATCACTTAGTGGGGCCTTACACTTTGCCAGGCGTCTTTGGCAAAGTTTGAAAGAATGTATACTGACCGCCATAAATACATGAACACTCAGTGTACTTTGATCAATTTTGATAAAATTTTCGGGACAACTGTCTTTAGTAACGAGCTCCTAGCGAGTTCATAATTTTGGGATGGGATGTCTACCAGCTCTCCGACTATTAGATTAAACTGTCCGAATTGATTCCATCAAGAACCGATGCAGTTGCGAACCTTCTCTTGCAGCTACGAAATCTGTTAAATAACCAAATATGAACTTTTTAAATGAAACACTCTGTATATGTTTGCATATTGTGTTATTTTGAAGGCAAAATATGTACATCAATGAAACTTTGTTTATAACTTTATCTTGGCACTAGAAATGACGATCTGCCGAAGTAGGATTAACGCCCGTTTGCACCGACAAATTTAAGCGGAGCTTAGCTTAAGCGTCCCTTAAAATCCATGGCAACGATTATTGAGACAATGGTTGCCATGGATTTTAAGCTACGCTTAAGCTAAGCTCTGCTTAAATTTGTCGGTGCAAACGGGCATAAATGAGCAAAAACAATTGAAATACTTTTACACGTCTGTTCCTCGTCTAACTCGAGAACGATAAGAGACAGCGATGTCAAAAGTTTTTTAAGGTTTTTTTTGTTAAGTATATCCTGGGAACTTTTTGTAACTAACATTTCTATTCAAAAAAACTACTCTACTTTTCCACTAAGGATACTTGTATAAGTTGACTGTACCTATTAATTGTCAGTGTTCCTGATATGGGCCTTTGTCGTTTTGTTTTAGAAACATGTGGTCGAGGAGAAAATGATAACGAAACCAAGTTTTGTATTGTAACGTAAATTTAATTACGTGATTTATTTTATTTTCGAATATTAATAATAATAATAATATTGCCTTTATTATTAAAAAAAAACAAAGATGTACTCCAGTACATCAAAAATTAAGGGCGAAGTTCAGTACTGCTCTTCCATTTAACCCCATTACTACATGCATTATTAGAAGAAAAAAAAAGTATTTAACTAAACAATTTAAAAAAAAGAAAGAAAATATTCTTAAGCAACTTAACGAGGTGCTTACTTTAAAACCGTTAGCACTTTACCACGCCAACAAATCATTATTTTGTATTATTTACCCATTGATTGCTAGGCCACTTCGATTTGAAGCAACTAGTTGACATACTTTTCAGAGTATCCGGTAGCTGATTATAAACGTTTGCTATATTGTAAGTGAATGATCTTTTGAAATACTCCGTATTGTGAGTCGGTGGTGTTAACATCCCTTATATTTTAAATTTAGCGTATGGACATCTGTTCGAATTTTCGAAACGATATTTTTTGGAAAAGGTGCTGTGGACTTTTGCAATAATTTGGTGAAACAGTGAGGCAGGATGTTGCATACGTCGCGTCGCGTCGATTACGTATATTTAACCAACCTCCTAAGGCCCCTAAAGTGTGACTAATCCTACTGTATTTACGGATACCGAAAATTAATCGTAAACACGCATTTTGTAGCTTTTGGATTCTTGAGGCATCAATAGAGTCCAAGCAAAGGCGATAAACTGTATCACCGTAATTGAATTTTGATACTAACGCATTGCAAACACGAGACCTTAGTTTCACATTCATCATGTGCCGATTTCTAAAGATAAATTTTAACACACCATACGCGATATTAAGATTTTTAGTGACATACTCCTTAAATCTAAGTTTGTTGTCCATGTATACTCCTAAATTTTTTACCGAATCATTTAACGAAATCTTTTGGGAGTTCAGTATTATATTGATAAAAGGTAACGCTCTTAATCTAGCCTGGTCCCTAATTAATAATACATTTATAACAGTCTTGAAATGAATTGATTTATAACAGCGCGAACTATTTATTACTTCGGGGTTGAAATTAGAACTGGCTGAAACGCAATTCGATTTACTTATATAGCAAACGACTATTGTTATATAATGTTCTTAGAACGCTTCCGAATGTTTTAGAATAAACACGTCATTTTTCCCGGAAAGATTGCGTCACTTCCGCCTTTGCCCTTTATCTCCGATGACTAATCTTTCATGGCGCTTCGATGTCTATCGAGATTTCTGGAATATTCGGTACAGTATGATGAATATTTAAAAAACGATGATCATGAACACGCATGTGCATTTTTTCACAAGGTCATAAGCAGCAAATCCTTTTCACTTTCGTAATAATCGCGCCTGTGGCACAGAACGCACAATTGTTAAATACATTAAGTACGTTATGCTCCATTTGAAAATCATAGCCGTTGTTTTAATATTGTTTTATCACAGATTAAAAGCGTAGTACTTTGTTTTTCAGGAATTGTCCTGTGAACCACCACTACCAGGTGATAATTGTTGGTGCTGGCATGGCGGGCATCGGAGCTGCGCTTATGTTATACGAGAACGGGTACAAAGATATAAAAATATTAGAAGCTCAAGAAGAAGCAGGAGGAAGAATAAAAACGGTTCCTATTCAAAATGGTTTTATAGACCTTGGTGCTCAATGGATTCACGGTACTAACGATAATTGTTTGTATAGATTAGCCAAGAAACATAAATTGCTTGCTGATGAAATGTCAGAGGAAGGCAGTGGATTATATATAAGAGACGATGGGTTTGTGTTTGATTCCGCTCTAGTTAATGAAGTAAACTTTGAATTAAGAAAAATTACTCTCGAATGCGAAAAATTTGTGAACGAAGGGAGTTTTCCTACTTCCGTTGGGAACTTCATACAAGAAAAGTTCGAAGCGTATATCGAACGCGGTGCGAGCGCTTTGGAAATGAAAAAAGAATTATACGATTGGCACATTAAATTTTTGTTAGTAGACAATTCGTGTTGCAGCCTACAAGACCTATCCGCTAAAGAATGGGGAAGGTACATTACCGGACCGGAGCATGTAAATCTAAAAAATGGCTATAAATCATTGGTCGACCTATTAATTTCGATGTTGCCGACCGAAGTATTCAAGTATAATTCGTCGGTTTCCAAAGTATGCTGGTCAAAGGATAAGGATTATGCAAGACTGCATTGTGTAAACGGAGAAGTGTATGACTGCGATCATGTAATCGTTACTCTCTCCTTAGGCTTCCTAAAACATTCACCAAATTTCTTCCAACCGCAACTACCATGTAGATTAAGCGTAACAATAAGTTCAATGGGATTCTATGGTATAGCCAAAATATTTTTGATATACGACGATAAGTGGTGGAATACTAATGGATTTCAAATAGTTTGGAGAAGAAATACCAAATTACATAAAAGTAGAAATTGGATTAGATACATCACAGGTTTCGATGTAGTATACAACCAACCCAATGTACTGTTGGGATGGGTGAGTGGAGAAGGTGTTCCGGCCATGGAAGAGCTAAGTGAAGCTGACGTTGGTAAACATTGTACGGAATTACTTGAAATGATTTTAAATAAATCAGTGCCAAATCCGTCAAAAGTTATCAGGTTGGTAAACTTAACTTTGTCTTCTGGCATACCACAATTGCTTCCTTAATCATGGCCTATCACTTGTATTGTCCCTGTAGATGTACCAATTTCTTTTCCTAACGTTGCCAAAGAACAGTCGAGCCTCGTAAGTGCTGGACGATTTAAATAATGTCAATAACACACAAATGAATGCTATTTATCATTTCCTTTTAATTATTTTATTAATGAAATACGAACTTTATTAAATTTCACGACCAGTTTTGGAAACAGGAAGGAACTGCGCGCGTTTAGCGAAATTGCTTTAAAACCGTTAGGTATTTCTCAATGAGGGTGACAAATTCATTTTCTGCATTCGATAATTAAATCAGACCTGTCCGTACGATGGCTAAAACAAATTTTGTTTGAATATTTTTAGAACAAAGTGGATGTCGTCTCCGTGGATTCGAGGTGGATATTGTCACATAACACCACAATGCGATAAGACTAAGACAGGACCCTTGACGCTATCTGAGCCTGTCTTTGTGGGAGATGTGCCGCGAATACTTTTAGCTGGGGAAGCGTGTAATGCGAAACATTTCTCTACAACGCACGGCGCTTTCGAATCTGGACAAATACAAGCACAAAGGATATTAGATTATTTGAAATAACATTGGAGGATCGATAACTATTCTTCCAAATATTGCTCAAACTTTTATTTAAGTATTTGATTTGATATACAATGATTGTCTTTATCTTAATAATAAATGTGTAATAAAGTTTTGTTGTTATGTTAATGGGTATATTCTTATACATAGGGTGTACACGTAGGATTCTTACGCAGAAAGTGGGTAGTTCTAAATTGATTTTAGAATTACAAAATGTCGCTCCATATGTACCTATATTGGTTTTAAAACCCCAATATTTGTTTTACGTGCAATGAAAAATTAGTTACAACAATTTCTTACACTAGGTACCCACTGTCACCTATTTCCGATTTTACTGGGAACAGAAGCGAAGCGGTAAATTGCATTTTAAATTATTCAACGTTAAAACATAATAATAAAACACTAAAACAGAAGAATCTTCACGCACCTCCTCGCTGATCTCTTTCTTTGCTGTTCTTGACAACCCCTCTTTCCAAGTTCTTGATGCTCTTTCAACCTTCTGTTTTCACAACTCCTCCACAAATTCTTCACTCCCTCTCATGTCGCAATTCACACTTTACGCCAGATTCATACGTTCTTTAGGTGCTTTCGTTTTCTTTTCGAGATTTCACATATTATTTAAGCCACTTTTCCTCGTCATGCACCTTTCACACATCGGGGGTGGGGGTGGGGGTGGGGTTGACGTCGTTTATTACGTTATCCAATGTGTGATTGAAAACTGCAACTCTATAGTAATTAGTAATCTTCAGGTTTTTCAGTTTTGTAATTGTCTCTTTTGGTCTGTTAGGGCATTTCCCGTGGCATAGTTATCTCTGTTTGGTAACTAGGCTCTCTTCTGCTTCAATAAAGAGATTATGAAACACCTCTGCACTAGTCTTCCTTTTATTATTATTTTTTTTATTTATTTGACTTCTTTTTCCCATTTGCGTACTGAGTGCATAGGCGGCGTCCATAATATAAGTGTAGAGTCTAACAAAACAGTAAATGCAAATTTACAATAAAAGATGACGGAACATTCTAATATATATTGGTAAATATAAAAATATCTCCTGTGGTTATAACATATTATGTTTACCACTCGCACGTTAGTAAGGGAGGTTATTGCATTGCGCTAAAAAATGACCTCCAACTTGTTTGATAGAAATACACCTTTTGAAGCACCAGGTATCGGAATCAAACAAAATCTCGACGATATCGGTCTGTCGGTCTCTCTGTACTCTTATTTCCGCCTAAACGGCTGAACCGGTTGGAACCAAATTTGTTACACATATTCGTAGCCGTAAAAGGAAGAGCTGAAAAGCTTTTGGGCAGAATCGCGCATGCCCAAGTGTGCCAAACTCTCATTTCCGGATAAACGGCTGAACCGATTGGAAACAAAATTTGGTTCACATATTCTTAGACATATAAGAAAGAACTGAAAAGCTTTGGTACAGAACGCGCATGTGCAGGTGGTATCTGTGCTAGGCACCACACATTTTTCTTAAGTAATTCAATTGTTTCTTTCACGGCACTTCTGGAAAAGTTTAACACCTTTCTTCTGCATTAATCTACTCAGAGGCAATGTTACAGACAAAACATTGTTTACAGACGTTGCAGTATAATTGTCATCCCATTAGGACACTGTAATGAGAGCGCTATTGATTCCCGTCAGACACTTTTGAAAGAAAAAGATGCTCTCGTGCCTGTCTATCCATCTAGTTTCAGTCCAACTAGGTGCCTTCCTAAAATATATATTATGCGTTGAAGATGCATTAAAAAAAGCGACAATACTTTCTATAACACCTATACATCGTTCCACACTCATAACGTTTGATATGGACAAGTTTAGAGCATCATTGTAGGAAACACACTGGACAGCATTGTTAATTTTTTCTCCACAGCATGTTATCAGTTCATTTTGCACATACTTGGCACTCCCAGGTGCAGATTCAATATGCTTGGTAAGAGCGTGCTCTCCAGCTTCTGCTCTGAAGCGAAACTATTCATGGAAGTTTCCTTAATTAGTAATACGTCGGCTGTATTCAAAGATGCTTTTTTTCACTACTAGCGTCTGATGACATGATTATTAACCTTTTTTCCACTTGTAAAGTAGGCTTTCTCGGCAGTTGTTCAAAGTGGTTAATAATGTGGACATTATTAACTAGTAGTCAATAATGAGAACTGTCACGCTGTCACTTTTAGAAAACAACCCGAAATTTCGCTCAATAAACGTTTGGACAAGTTCTCTAAAATGAATAATTGCCACCATCCGCCATTTCCAGAGAAATTACATACCTAAAATTAAAAAAGTTCGAACGAAATTACTCTTTGAAAATATCTCAATGACAGAATAAAATACGGCCTGTTTGACTTGTACTTCTACGTATTTGATTGACATATTAAATTAATAAACAAAAAGTTCTGTCCAACCGTTCACTTTCTTATCAACATAATATGTGAATTTAGAGGATTTCAAGTGCTAGTAGTGAAAAAAATAGTATATATACCACGGTAGAGAAGTCTATTATTGCCTTCGCACCTTAGACACCTCGGCGCAAGCGCCTCGAGATGTAATCTTGGTGCTCAGGCAATAATACTGTACTTCTCTACCTTGATATATAATGTACTATTAAATCCTCGCATCATCACGGTGTCCACGAAATGAAACTTCTCATTGGTAATGCTGATTGATCTGGTATTCCACTTGAAGGCTTGGTTTACTGATTCTTTTGAGGAATTCTTTACCCTTTTCCATCGATTTCTAGTAATAAACGTTCTTTACATGAGTCGTTATATATTCCTCTTTTCATAACAATGTTTATAATTTCACTGGCTTTATGACAAGGTTTTTAAAGGAATCCCACCGACTCGGATGTAGCAAACAATGGTCAATAAATACTAAAATAATAAAAAATAATAAAATAAAATAATAAAAACAATAATTCATTCTGTGTTTCAGAAAAATCAATCTTTTCCATTCCTTTTCACCACGGCGCTAGTTATTATATAACCTTTAGTAGGTTTCCAGTGGTTGACGAAGAACTTCTTTTTCGTATAATCATCAGTGGATTTTTTATTAAAATTCCCATCATAATTCATAAATGGTGCCTTGTAATGATCCTTCATTTATTTTTATATTAATTTTTATTTTTATCAGAAGTTTCTTTTGCTTTTGTGACACTATTACTTGATGGTACACTATTGTTATCAAAGTTGCTCTTTTAACCAAAACAATTGGTCAGCTTTGCTTGTGTTGCAGTTCTTTTTCCTGTAGCTTGAATATTGGATATTTGATCCGCCTGAAAACACGTACAATAAAACGTATTATTTTATATTTGAAGAGTACAAAGTAAAACCAGCTAACCATAATGGCTCATTTAAGGAAGCAAAGAACAAATACAGACGTAACACTAAAACAAAACAGCACAGCAAACCCTGGTTTCCTCGCCTGTGCCCTTAACGCTTATTTCCCCTCTTTTTCACAGTGCAGCCCCATCTGCATGCTTCTCTCGCTTCCTCGCATCTCTTTGTTTCCATCATTTCCTATTCCTTCACGCGTTTTTATTATGTGGTTCATCTTTCATGTCCCGTTCAAGCTTCCTCTAAGCCTCTTTTCTATACAAATATGTTCCCACAATTTAGTTCTATTTTCTCCATCTAGTTTCCCCTCACATCCTTGCTTGTGCCCTCTTCCCACCGTTTTTAATCTTTTTGGCACGTTTATCACATATTCTTCCCTCTTTTTTTCGCGATTTTCTTACATCTCTTTCAGAGCTCACTCGCGTACCGTTTTTTTATATACACATCTTCCACGCGCGCTTCGATTCTTCGTAATAAAACAACTTGTGGCCCGCTGGCATAGGATTGCGCAGCCATGGTCTAGAGATGTAGAGACGTTTGGGTAGATATTGGTTGGTAAATTCTATTTAGAAAAAATAAATAAGTCTTGGTGGTAAATGGCACATAGCAGATAAGGTATATTTTAACTCTTAGCCTTTAGTAAAATTTACCTTTGAATTTTATGTCGCAATGTTTTGAGCTCAGAAGGGCGCGTTCCGCAAATCTGTAACAATATCTAACAGATAATAACACGACAAACAAATAAAAGGGTTAGTGAAGCGCGCTGCACATAATATTGCGAATTAGCAATGCTACCGTCTGACACGGAGGGTAATCGTATACTGACTTTACACTATAGCAAACGCAAAATTTTGATCAACTATCTTTACAGTCCGAGTATAACAGCATAATAGTGCCGTTAAATTCAAGAATAATGCTTTACTAATTCTATTCAAAGCAAGGCAATCTAGTCTGGCAGATTTCAGTAAAAAATAGCAACAATTGCGCATTAGATGAAGAAAGCATGAAACTCACAGGTATTGATCAGGGTATAGTCCTGATGATTTTAAGATCGGGAGGCCTACAAAAAGTTATCAAAAAACAAAATGGCGGCCGTTCAAAGATTAGGCCTTACTTAATATGGGGAGTGCCTTATTCTGCAGAAACTATGAGTTTTTATGGAAACATGCTTCTGATATTTTTTATAGCTCTTAAAAATACCTTTACAGCGATATATTACACGACTACTTCCTACTTCCGGTTACCGGAAATGACGTCAAAATCCGAGCTTTTCGTATTCATGCAGTTGCGCACTTTGGTTATAATTGAATAACCCCTGGTTTTAAGAAAACCATGCTTCTAGCTTTTTTATAGCTCTTAAAAATTATTTTATTGCACAAAATCCTAGTTTTTAGTATTTTAACTTCGCTAAACGCGAAAGAAACGGATACGGCCCAAAACGTGTCAGCTCCGTTACGTGTGTAACGTTCATTGCCACATATATTTTTTCTTTTGTTTACAGATAAAAGGGGTACATTTAATTTAAGTCAGACAAAGAAAAGAAGAATAGAAGAAGAAGAATAGGACAAAAAAAGAATAAGGATAAGAAAAGAAGGGGGAAAAGAATGGAAGGAATATGGATTGTAACGCACTTAACGCGTCAGTTATGGACTGGAAAAAATGTGCCCTTTGTCAATGTGTTTCATCCGAAAAACTAATTGACCCGGGAAAGAGAAAAGGTCTGACTCCCGAAGACTGCTACA